GAAAGACAAGAAGCTTATTACAGTCATATAGGCAACACTACATGACCACTATAAGAGGAGATGGAAAACAGCTTTTTATGTAGTTCGTACTACGTAGAAAAGTTTGTAGGCAATATGCTTTTATCTGACCTAGTTTGGATGTTAATACATTTTAGCTACAAAGCAGTGATTGCCAAACCTAAGACCAAAATCATCAGTATTATTGTATAATAATTTCAAAAATTAGGATAATAAAAGATGAAGATAAAAAAATAATTCTCAGGAGAACTGGGAATTGACGTGCATTATTTATGTTATTATTTGGCGTCCTGAGGGGTTTTGAAAATAATGTAACACATTTAAAATACATTATTGCCCAGTCCTGTTCCACTGAAAGGAATTAAAATTTTCCATTGACTTATGTGGGAGCAGGAATAGGCCCATAAAAAAGGAAGACACTACATTAACATGGGGTTTATGTAGCAATCAAGAATGCGTGTTGAGAGGTTATGAAAAAGGAAAATCTTTGTTAGTGACAAGATTGTACATACTGAGAAACTGTCTCAGCAGAAGTTGCGCTGTTGATGGTTTGTATTTTGTATTCATAACTGTTTACTATCTGTATTTACCAAGTTAACAATAAATAAGCTATAACTAAAGCTAATTTCCAACAAGAATTGGACAACTTTGATAAACTTTCTGTACATACAGTAACTGTAAAAGTTAATAACAGATATCAAGCTCCAGTTGTGTTTTCTCTTTTCAGAAACTTATTAAGACATATGCAAATTATGGAGATTTAGACTGTGGTACCATACATCTATTTTTTTATGTGTAACTCTGCAAATTGTTGTAGACTCAGAATGCATACCGATGTTCCCACGAACATGAAATCCAAAGACGGCACTTGAAATTTTTTTAGCTTTGTTTAACTTGACGTTGGAGATTGTGTGCCACAGGTTTGCAGAAAGAAGTTTCACTTAACTTTGAGATACCTGTGTGCTTGATTGTTCCTGTCTATGAATGCATAAAGAGAGGATTTACAGAGCAGACCATTTTTTTTTTTTTTGAAAACTATACTGGTAGCATATGGTATTGCATTTTGAAAATAGATTCCTATAGCAATTACTTCTACGAAGTCACTGACTGTATTAGTAACAAGGCATTACTGTAAACTGACAGTGCCACATCTTTCTGATGTCAGTGTGCTTCGCCTGCATCGACCATCAACCTGTTGATAAGTCAAGATGGTGATGCTGTGTTGGGATGTTGAGAGGACCGGCTTTCTTGTTTGTGGGAGTGTTTAAATGCTTTCAGTAAACCCAATTATATGAGCTGCTTTAACTGGTAAGACAGAAAGAATCTTGTTTGTTAGTCCATTAAAAACACCAGATAATGATATACCGTATGTGCCTGAGTGTTACGGCACTTCGAGCTGAAGGCTTAACTGATTTAAAATGTTGTCCCTGTGAATTCTAAATCTTTGTAATACTTTTGTTCTGTATCATTCTCTAATACCTGACTATTTTTGTAGGACAGTAAACTTTTGGTTACATGTAGTTAAAATTGAAGGATAATTGCTATGGCATCAACATGCAATTGTATCATTATAGACACATTACAAGTATTAAAGGATTCACACATTTCCACTGAGTTATTTTTAAGCAAAAGAAATGATGTATTTTATATGGAGCCGTTTTTATTGTCAGTTCTTTAACAAAGAACAATTAGCATGTGTTTTACATTTTGTCATGTTACAAGTAGCGAGTCTTTGTTGCTGCAGGACTGGCTATTGCAATTGCACACACAGGGTACTGTAAAAAGTACAGGAGGTTTTTTTTGCACATAAAACTGAAATGTATTGAAACTATTTTACAACACTTCTGTTTTAGGTCACTGTATATGCAAATGGAACCCTTTGCATTCAGAATAGGACCTTATAAAAATAGTGTGATTGGAATGCTTGCTTTGAGAGCTGCATGCTGCAGCAAGGAAGTTAAAACTTACAGAGCAGTCATTATTTTGACCCAGCATTCCTTCTCTCTCCCTTCCTTAGCCCCCAATAAGATGAAGATGTACAAAGCAAAATGTACTCTAATCAGATGGGATATTGTCACTTCCCATTTGGATTTGATACACTTTTTTTTTTAGTGTTTCTAAAAGCCATTTATGATGGTAGAACTTGAATTGTTTTGAAATGTGAAGTCTTGCATTATTTCATTTTTGTAAAAAAAAAAAAAAATCAAAAAAAAATCAAAAAAAAACATAATAAAACCCACCCTTCCATGCTGTTGAAACTTTTATTATTAATAGGCTGTTATTCCCACCCCCAAATGTACGATTTCTAATAAATACAATTTAGTGAAGTAAGAATTAGATGGAAGCATTGTTAATAAATGCACCCCTATCAGTGTCTAACTTTAGAATTTTATATATCAGAGTGTTAATGCACATAATGTAATGCAAGTACAGTGACCAGAAAGTAGCTCACTTTAGTTTTGATGGAGTACAAGGGAGTATGCTGCTGTATATTAAAAGCAGTGATACACAAATTTGTTAGAAGTCTGATTAGAGAAGTGCACTTCCTAGTCTAGAAAGGCTTGGTTTACTTAGAAATAGATGAAAACACACCAACAAAAAAATTAGAATGTAGCCTAAACAACAGAAGGGTAAATGCTGCAACACTGACAAGGTTAAAGCATGTGCCACTTTTGTTGGGAGGAGCAGGGTATAAAGGTATACATGTAGGACACATAGAATAGTAAATGATTTTGTGTGTTTTTGCTTCCATTATATTTATTACTTTGTAGAGACATTTGTGAATGTTAGACTTCTCTTACCGTTTTATTATATTTATGTATAAAACAGGTTGACTATGCTTTTTTAAAATAAATAAGCAAAAAAAAGCCTGTATGAGTGCCTCTGTCATCTTTTGAAGGAAGTTGCTTATAAACATCTCGTATGGTGTTTTGTTTTTTTAAATAAAACTCTTCAGACTAGACAATTTGGAGCAGAATGTAGCTGCATTTTAACTTAAAAAAAGCAGATGTAGAACTTCAGAATTCTTAAAGCAATGCGTCTTGACTACTTAAAAATGAATTAAGATATCATACTAGACACAGGTATTGGAAAAAGACTGGCTGGGGGGATAGACATACTTGAGGATAAGTTGCATTACAAAGATCCCTGTTTAGTTTCTTTGTTTTATTATATGTATTTCTGTTTTTGTTTTTTAATTAAACTTAATTCTTCTCCCCAGAAGTGGTCGGTAGTTGACTGGGTATATTTTTGCTTACTGTCAAGCTGTTTAGTTCCTTAGAAAACAGGATATGCCTTGAATTAGAATTCCAGCTAATAGCTGCATCTTTGCAGCAACATTTTTTTTTCTTCTCAAAACTCTGGGACTAGTGCTTAATATCAGTGAGTACTATGTTAATTTTAACCCTTATTTCTCACTAATTTCATTATGCAGAGGTCCAAGCTCAATAATATAACTACTGAAATATGTCTGAAGTATGTAATGCTTCATTTGTTTTTTGTTCCTCACAAAGATATTTCTGAAATATGTCATACCTTATTTCTTTGGTCCTCATCAAGATAAAACTTTTGGGTTTGCACACAGAATTAATACACAAATGTTACTCCATTTAACAGCCTACTGTTTCTTTCATACCTTTTAAATGGGTCTCATGCACTCAGGCTCCAGATTATCGCTTAGAAATACTATAAATGTAAAACTGTATTTAAATGCAAGGGTATTTATTTTTTACTGCAGTTACGACTGGACTTAAGAAGGAATGGTAAGACAGCAGTGTATAACATAGCTTACCAGATATTTTAAAACTTGTTAAAGTCAAATTTATTGCTTTTGTAATTAAGTTTCTATATTCTATAAAGACAATGAAAATGGAAAAATTGTATTTAATTTCTTCCACACAGAAAATCTGCATGGAGATTTGTAATGAAATATTTTATACCAGGGATTTTTTTTAATGCTATACCATGTAATTTAGGGGTATGTTAGCTGCTGAATTCAGAGGAAGAAACTAGTACATGCTTCTGCTCCCATTTTGTTTATGTAAAGTTCACTACATGTGTGCCAAGCTCAAAATCTTATGTGGTTAATCTAAGACTTTTTAAATACTGCTGGTTGTCAATTATTGTCATATGTGTTAAGGTTCACACATCATAGCACATAACCCATTAATTTTGAGTTAAGGAGCTATGTTACATTTCCTGTTAAATCTGTAAATTCTTCTGGAATGAATTTATAGCCCTCTTCTACCCTTCCAGCCAAAGGTCATTCCAAATGCTATATGTGGAATTTGTCTGAAGGGTAAGGAGTCCAACAAGAAAGGAAAAGCTGAAGCTCTTATACATTGCTCCCAGTGTGACAACAGTGGTAAGTATCCGTATAAACTAACTGGATTCCTAAGGATTCAAACATTCCTAATGTTTGGCAGATCTTTTTGTGGAAATATTTATACTTGTTTACCAACAGTTCACTTGCCTTTTCTGTCCTTCATTAAAGCTTCATCCCTGTTTAAGATTATGTGCTATCACATTCAGCGTGCTGTTAGATTTCTCCAGGAGGCGAGCTCAGCTTCAGCTTCTTTCAATTCAATCTAAATAATTTTAAATTTCATTTCAGTCATAATTAATAATATTGATTTTAATCCAGGCCATCCTTCTTGCCTTGATATGACCCCGGAGCTTGTTGCTATGATTAAGACTTATCCTTGGCAATGTATGGAGTGTAAAACATGCATTATATGTGGGCAGCCTCACCATGAAGAAGAAATGATGTTCTGTGATGTATGTGACCGTGGTTATCACACTTTTTGTGTGGGGCTTGACGCTATCCCCTCAGGTAATAAAGAGTTAATTGTTCCCTTCCCACCTCCTCCAAGTCATGGGGTTTCTCTGTCAAAATACACGCGTTGCATTTGAAAGAAGAGTTTAAAAACAGTGTGAAGGGTAAAAATAAGCAATAGCGTTGGAAAGCATCCACACACCAGGGATTGAGAATTTTTTTTAATAAGCTTTATTTCTGTGTATTTGGTTTTGCACAGTTTAACCTGGCATTTCCTGTATAGGAAATATAATTGGCTTTTACAACAGAATCCAAACAGGCTCCCTCAGAGCGATTTTTTCTAATATTTCCAGAGAATACTGAGAATAATTACCTCTTTTCATAAAAGAAACATGTAAAGAGGCCTGTATTGCTGCATATTGCTGGATAATAGCTTTCACATTAACGAAGTTTGTTATTTCAGTTTCTAAATTTAAAAGTATGCTCAATTTAGCATTTGTAAACATTTTTAAACCCCTTCGTTCCCATTTTTTTCTTAAATGTAAAAGCTGGAAGTACCTCAGTGTCAGGTAGCCTGTACTTCTAAATTACCTGGCCACTCATATCACCTGGCCAACTCAAGGCAGTGTAAAGAAGACTTCAGATGTAAGTGACTGATAGCAGTGACACTAAATAAATCACCAGTAAGCTCATGATAAAGTACTTGGTGACAATATTCCTCGTAACTACTACCTCAAATATATTGTATATCCCATTTAGAGAAGCACAGGGAGCTTGCTGTTGCTTTACTCCAGGTTATGTGGTTGACTCGACTTTCAGACTGACCTACAGACAGAATCTAAGCAAAATAATTATAGTCCTACAAAACTAAAAAAAAAAAAAAGCAAAGCAGCTTTTATGATTCCAGCTGTTGTAATATAAATAGTTAATATCTGTGCTCAACCCTTTATTGTTCCCTCCATAAATGGGTTTTAGTACAAGGTCTAGTGCTGAACTTCTGCCAGCAGTTTAATCTGTGCTGCCTGACTGCACTGAAATAACTGACGCTGGTTTGGGGAATGGGACCCACTACCCTGTGGCACAATAGCAACATTCTCCAACTGCCATTCATTACTGCTGTGAGTTACTGCCCATAACCTTGAACTGTGGCCACTCATCTGAAAATCTTCACTTGCAACCTCATGGTTTGTCTCTTCTTTCCTAATAACCATTGCATTAGCAGTGCTGGCACTTAACTCCTTGAGCCCCATAAACATAAGTGTAGCCAATTGTTACATGCACTGAGTCTGCAAGGGATGGTGAATTTGACATGGTGCTTTCTGTACCTTTTAGAAAAGATGCTTGAATTTTAAAGAAAAACACTGGTTGTGTACATGAAAGGAAGTACTAGGAATAGATGAGCACCTACTGAAATAGTGAAAGGTACATAACTAGATGAGTGAATAAAAAAGGTAGCTTCCCAATAATTGACAACTTTCTTTTCTTAGGTCGCTGGATTTGTGATTGTTGTCAGAAAGACTCTCCCGTACCCAGAAGAGGAGGAAGAAGGGGGAAAAACAGCAAGGAGGGCTAAGCCCCACTCTCCCCCCTTAAAAAAACAAAAACAACTTGCTGTCCAAAATTTAACTGCACAAATTAAAGTGATATTTTGGTGCTATTTAACCAACCACTTTAAGAGGAACAATACCACTTTTTTTTTTCTTTTTACCAAATAAACTCTTAATTTTGGCTATATAATTATTTTTGTGATATAAAAGTCACTAATCATGTCCTGTCAGCTATCTAGACAGAGAAGTCAGATTCCCACTGAAAAAGAAAAGGCTTTCACTAATGAAACTTAAATTGTACATGCACTGTTTGTATAAAATTATAGTAACATTCTTGTTTATTTCAGTGCACTCATCAGTAAGCTCTGTGAAAAGAAAATTACAGAGCAATTTTAAATATACACTACTTGCATAGCAATTGCTTATCTTGAAAGACTCAACCAAAGCAAAAAATACTCCTGGAAAAACTAACTTTCAGGGAAGAGTGAGCATGATCTGACCTTCTTACAATATACTGCAACTTCCTTTCAGCAAAAATTTTCTTTGCAAGCTAAGGACTTGTTCATATAAATGTACCCCCAAAAAAAAAAAAGATTGTGTAAACATCTTTTGAAAAGAAAAAAAATCACAAAAAGCTGTAAAGGGATGTGTAAAAACCTCTCAAGCTTAATATCCTATATACCGCATTGCCTTCAATGAGGAATGAGAATGTCATATTGACAAGTAACAACAGCTGAAGGCTTCCCTTCCCTATAGTAATATCGAAGTAACATGTACTCGATTCAGGTCATGGATTTGCAGAGGTGCTGAGTGACCGGACAGGCTTCTGCTTACAGATGGTTGATGGGATGCAGAGCACAAGCAGTCAAAATACAGACCATCTGTCCCCTTAGGTGATTGTTTGTTTGGTTTTCCCTTCTGTCACCCTAGTGGAGCCTGAGTCGGCTCCTCAGCTTGACTGCACTCTAAAGCCACTGCTAATTAGTTTTACTGAAGATACCTGGCAGAGAAAGAGTAGATTTTAAATATGCTCGAGATTGAGAGGGGGCACTGAAGTGCAGCTGTTTGTATTTTGCTCTTTATAAAATAATGATAGAAAATAAAGGATTAGGGCTGATTTTTTTTCCTAAGCACCTGTTCAGAGATTCCAAACTCTACATTCATCTTTAAGCCCTGATCTCTAAAGTTGAATACTGCAAATACTGTGCTTGCTGCTCATTTTACATGTAGGGCAGGATTTTACAATATAAAATCAAATATGGCTTTTTCCCCCTCATCCCCCACTTTCTTTCTGGTTCAGGAAACACAACAAAGAGTATTAAATATTACACAAAGTTATTAATGTTCAATTTCACAGGCTGAAATTTGATTTAGTCCAGTGTGTATGAATTTAAAAAAGAATTTCAAGTATTAATTTCAAGATTCCAATAAGTATAGTCCAGAAAACAGACTCTTCATCCTGAGATTCATCTTCTGTGGTGTGTGAGTATTTCTGGTTTGCCTCCATCTCCTCTGGGTTGTAAGAAGCCTCGCCAAAAGGATACTGTACAACTGTTCGATCGTAGTAGACCTTCATTTCAAACTCACTCTCCAGGTGAGAGGGGTGACCATAAATCCCTATTCCCACTGGGCGGCGGAAGTGTGCTGGTACGTGGACAACATCTTGGCCACAAGTTACGGACTGTAATTCGTACTCGTCAAAGCTGGGGTGAAGAGTTATATCAGATACGTACAAATCTGCATCACCTTTTAAACTCTGCATCTGAAGTACTATCTTTCCCTCGTGATTTAGTCTCAAGTAACTGTAGTTTCCCTGCTCCAATCTGACCTTGAACAACGTGAAGAAGCAGCCATTCTTCAGGTACATCCTCTTCCTCAAAGGTCTTTGCCACAAATAGTACTTGAGCTGCCACAAATATTACCAGGACTCTCCTCCAGCGTGCTGCCATGGCTATTAAGTTTTACTCTGATTCCTCCTACTGTCACATGCGCTACCCTGCAAATACAAAAGAATTTAGATTTAGTATACTCCGTTCCTGGAAGGAATCAGTTTTTTTGGTTTTAATTTGGTAATTTTTAGAAATCCTCTCTAGTTCATAAAAAGTTAAGCAACTTCAATTAAGTACATTCATTAACTTTTTTCCTTTTATTTAAAAAAAAACAAAAAAACAAACAGTTAAGAAACCACCCTGTTGCTAAGTTCAGAGCTCTGTTTGGTAGGATTTAAATGACCTCAGAAAACAGTTCAGGTGCAAATCCAGGTGCATGTGTGAAGCAGAATGCATTGTGACCCCCAGTAGGAAGGGAGCTAGAACTAAAGACAGATCATCTACTGAGATATATACTAAATATACTAAATTGTCGCTCTAAAGCATGGATTATTTCTATGACCAGATTTGGCATATTTTCACTGAAGAACTGCGTTTACTTTCATAAAGTTTTTGTTACCTTACAAATGCTCAGCTCTTTACAGCACTTGCCTACAAAACAGCCAGCTCAAGTTGCTGGGACCGTGGGCAGAGGGAAAGGGCTGTTACAAAACAAAGGCCCTTGTGCCCTTTCCCCCTTGTTGCACGCTCCCAGCCGAGCAGCCTGAGCATGCCCACAGCACTCCAGTCCTTTCAACAGCTGCACAAAGTGCACGTGAACAAAGCAGCAAGCTCTGAATTTTGTCAAAGCTTTTCAAAGCATACAGGTGACTGAATTTTACATGCTGGTCTTGGTCAAGTGTGGGAACTGGAAGTACATGCACCTTGATGTTTCAGATGAAGATTTCCGCTCCCTCACGCCTTCCATGAAGATTGAGCTATTATCTTAAATGTGACAGCTGCTGGTAAATTGCTAGCATGTAAACAAACTGCATTACTTCCACTGGGATGTCGCTTAAAGCTTAGTGGTTTTCCAGCTACCCAGATCTAGGGACAACAACGTACGAGCATTTCTGTAGTAACAAGTTTTCTGTCCCACGGGCCTCTAGAACACAAGGCCACAATTCTGCGAAGGCAACACCACGAAAGGAAGCACAGCGCCCGCAGAACCTGCCGGACGGACCAAGCCCTTTGAACAGTGACAGAAAAGCTGCCTTCTGGATCAGAGAACAAGCCAATCCGCGGCGATGAAGCAACACCCGAGGGGAGGAACAGTCGCGGCAGAAAACACCCGGCTAAGCACAAGCGACGGCCGATCCCACCTGAGCTCCTGTCCGGCGTCCGGGAGATCTCAGGAGACCCTGGACAGAGCCGGGAGCCCGGCCGCCCCCTCAGCTGCCTCCTCCCCGCGGGCCGGCCCAGGCCGCGGGCAGGGAGCGGCGGCGGCGCCTCGGCTCGCTCGGCTCCGCTCGGCTCCGCGGACGTGCGGCGGCGCAGGGAGGCGCGGCCAAGCCCCACCCCGGGGCCCCACCGAGGGGCCGCCGGGCACGGCACCGCCCCTCCGGCCTCGCCGCGCCCCCTGCACGCCCCCCTCAGAGCCCGGCCCGGCGGCCGCCACTCACTGCTGCCGTTACGGCCGTTAAAAGCCGTTACAGCCGGTACCGCCGGCACGGCCGCGCGCGAGCCGTCGCTCGCGGCCCTGCTCTCGCGAGAGCGCGGCGGGGCGCGGCCGTCGCCCTGGCAACCGCCGCCCGGGTTGAGGCGCTCGGCGGGACGGGGCGGGACGGGACGGGACGGGGCGGGAGGCGGCGGCCAGCACTGGCTTTTTGTGGCATTTCTCGTTTTGTACAGCTGTTGTGGGGGCACAAACTTCGCCTTAAAGATCACAGGATGGGGGAAAAAATGGAAAGAGGGAGAAAAAAAAAAAATAGGATTTTGCGAGCCCGCTGATTTCAACAGGCACCTTACCCTGCCTGAAAGCTGTAAAGCTAAGCAAGACTGAAGGACTGGAATTGATAATAAAATCTTCATGGAGAATGTTGTGTGCTGAGTGGTGAAAGGGGAGTTGTTTATGCACCTCAGGGATCCTGTATTCGTGGAATAAGATAATACGCTGTCTTCAAACCCTAGCTCTCCAATTTCTTAAAACCCACATAACTTTTGTCCATACCTATCTCAAACAGATGGGCTGCGTGGACCTGACAAATGTAGATTCCACTAAGGCTGAGCGTTATTAACATCAACATCAGTCTTTTACCAACTGCTCAAAACACAATAAACATTAAAGCTGCTAAATCTCATTAGTTAAAGTTGCTCTTAATATGATTGGGTATTGAGATTAGTCACAAAAGCACACAAAAACATGACATGACAGGGAACTGGTGTTTCCCTAAAATTCCATAACATCGTAAGTATTTTTATTTATTTATTTTTTGTTTATTTATTTATTGTCATGTAGCTAGTAGTTCCATGTGGAATAGGTGGATACCCAAGCTATGAGGACCTGCTGGGGCCAGGGTCCTTTAGTGTTGTGTTGCACTGGATTGGGACATCGCTAGGGGTTACTTTGCCTGGGGATGCAGCGTGCTGTACGTTTCTCACTGCATCCGTCTCGATCGAGCTGACTTTGCTGGCTCGGGGTTCAGCTGTGGCAATGGAATTGGTGTTCTAACTCCTGCTTGATCAGGTGAGAAGTCGGTTCAAGATCTCTGATGGTTTTTTGGATTTTTTCTCATTCCCTAATTTATATGAATTGTGGGTTGCTGGAAGTATTGTAGCTACAAACATCGAAAGGTGAGGATGAGCTGCAGTGCAATGAATTAGAAAAAAAGCACCCTGAAGTTGCTCAGGGACAGCTGCAGACAAGTGCTCCAACATGCTTCAGAACAAGCTCTTCACTCCTCAGCACCGTTTGCCTGCCTGAGCAGCACCTTTGTGCTTCGCCAGCCTTTATTCCCCCACGACTAAACCGCCACGGGGCGTTCACAACTGCATCACTCGTGCAGACTGTCAGAAGAAAGCCCCCATCCAGCGTTCTCGGGGGGGAATTATTTTAGGAAAGCCACGCTGCGTGTCCCGAGCGGTGAATGGGGCCGCCTCTCAGCACAGCGCCCGGTGCTCGGGGCGGGGGCGGTCGCGGCCGCGCCCCGTCAGCGTCGCCTCTCCGTGGTAACGGCCCGGCCGTTGGGCGCGGGGCCGCGGGGCCGCCTCGCCGTGAGGAGCCGGGGACATGGCCCCGGTGCTGCCGTGGGCCCTGAGGCAGGATGGAAAGGGACGGGGCGCGGCGTTGCGCTGCGGGGAGAGGCAAAGCCGGTGTTGTCTGCGAAAAACACGCGGTGAGATCGCGGCTGTCGGCCCGCTTCGTGCAGCCGGCGTGCTGCCACCCCTACTGCGCCTTCCCGCTGAACAAAAGGGAGCTGTGCGTCTGGAGCACGGCCGGACAGGTAACAGCACAGGGTGGGAGAGGGAATCCCCAGGGCAGCAGTGAGAAAAAGGCGTGGGTCGGGAGACACAGTTTAATGTGAAAAGGAAAGAGTATGAATAATGCAATGAAAAACAATTTCCCACCACTTCCTACAAACAGACCAATTTCCAGCCACCCTCTGAGCAATCGCCTACCATAGAAGACAACCCCTAGCACCATCTTCTCACACTCCAGTTCTGTTGCAGAGCCTGATGTCACTGGTATGGGATATCCCTTTGGCCAGCTCGAGTCACCTGTCCCCGCTGTGTCAGCTCCCAGCTTCTTGCCTGCTCACAGACAGCTTGCTGGATGCTGTGGGGACAGGCTGGCAAAACGAGAAAGCCTTGAAAGCACTGTTCAGCAGCAGTTAAAATGTTGTGTATTGTCGTCACTAGTTTGGTCACAAAATCCAGAATGGCACCATACAAACTGGTGTGAGGGATGTTTACTTGGTCCCAGACAGACCCAGTGCAGCTATATTGTAATTTATTAAGTGATTTTGGAGCAATAAAGAAAAATGAGTTTGGAACAATTTTGTTAATTGCTCAAACATTATCCGTTTATAATTTTGCACTGTTTGTAATGTTAATTTGAAGTGACTCATTTAACTCTTCTTTATGTACGTTTGTCAGACACTACATTTGTTAGGACATAAGCACTCGGTTTCCGCACTGTCGTTTGGAAATAAAACCGAGCCACTTCTTCTCTGCTCTGCTTCCCATGAGTGCGTGATCGTGTGGAATCTGGCTGAATGTGCGCAGAAAGAGCAAGAAGGTAGAGTATCAGCTACCTACCCACCACAGGGGCAGCGCGGCACAGCCGGGAACTGGCCGTGGTCCTGGCCATGGAGCTGGGCACTGCTCAGCAGCTGGTGGGCCGCTGGGAGCCTGGTACAGCTGGGGAAAAACGAGTAAGCAGCAGCAACAACAGAGACCTCGGTGTATAGACCTGTCAGAGAAAACTCAGAGAAGCACTGTGAAGACAGGTTTTACCACTGTGCCACAAAAGGGACACTGACATTATAAGCATGCCAGCACTGCTTAACTAAGCATGCAATGACAAAATCACTAAATGCTAACTTTTCTAGAATATGTGCAGAACTAGTGTGCTCCATCCTGCTTTGTCTGGTCCTTCCTCTCCTGCCTCTGAAACGCTGTTGTGTGTATGTGTGTGTGAAAGAGAGACGTGCAAGTATCTGATCTAGGAGGGGAGTGCATGAGTGAAGTATGGTGAGAAGTCACAAAAAATGAGCATGTTCTAATGTCCTGAACACCAGTGAGGGTTGGAGCCTCAACAGATAGAGTTTGATTCTAGGAAGCAGTGCTAACTCCACTTTGAGCTTAAATTGACTGGGAAGTAGAGGAATAACAAAAGAGAATGAAAGAGATCAAGACCCCCAAAGTCCAAAAAAATATTAATATAGTGTGAGAGTTGGGAATCATTATGGACCTCTTTTGGAGCCTCTATTGTGAAAGAGTGGTGTGGTGTTGTCCATCACTACTAAAAATTTCATAGATTTGCCTATGATTAAATGTGTGGGAGTAGTGTCTTGTACTCTGATCCACACTGAATTCTACATATTATGAAAATAAATGTTGTAAAGAAATATCAACATTTGAAGTACTTTAGTAATACCTGTCATCACTACATCTGAATCCATATAAGTGTAACACAGAGAATCAAAGCACAATTCAGGGAGTGGGCGTGAAATGGGACTAAGAATTATGGGGAAGACAAAAATGGAAGATAGGTATAGGCAGCAAAAGGCAGACAGTATGGGTAGTTTTAATACAAAGACATCTGAGAGCGAGATTCAATGCTGCTAGACTTCCTTCTTCCCCTGTTCTCTATCCACAGGCTCTTCAGCAGAAGCTGTATAGTCTTTGTCACCACAGACTGTACTCTCTGCACAATTTTGGCCTACTTTTTCTTGCCATATTTTTAACAAATATATCAAGGTAGTTAAGGAATTCTTTGTGTGATCCATCTCTCCATTCTGATAGACCTTGACACATTAATCTGCTGTAAAAGACTCCACAGCATTTGGGGTAAAAACAAGAAATGGACAATCTATAGCTGTTGTGACTCTTCTAGTTAATTTTCTGCCTATGAAATCCTAAAATTTAACAAGATATCCAAAGCCTCTTCACATCGTTAAAAGTAGCATCATAAAGTACAAATCTGTAAAAGCCCACCTGCTAGAACCACTGAGATGGTTGATTTTGTGTTCAATTGTCTTCAATTTTGTGTTGAAGAGAGGGATGAAACATGAACCTGTTCTCAAAGCTATCATCAAACTGCTTATCTTCATCATCAAACTGCTATGATTTTTAGTGACATACCCCCTCCTTTAACCCTTTCCCACTGAGGAAATTAAAATCAAGATAAGGAAAGTCCCCCTTGCTTAGTGGCTGAGTGGCTGAAATACTCACCCAGAAGAAATATTTTTCAAACCTCTGTTCTGCTGGGCTTGAATCAGGATTTCTTACCTCCAAAATGAACATGTCACTACTGGGTTCTCTGGGCTCATCACCCTACTCCAAAAATCCTGTCCCTGGCAGTTTTCAATGAAAATATAATTTGATCAGCACACTTATTATTAGTATCTCAGAGAGCACCAGATATCGTCTAGGCAACGAGGCAGATGGAGAAATCCTGGTGCATAGTTTTGTGCTTTGCTTTCCAATAGCCTGGGATTGGACTAGATGATCTTTAAAGGTCCCTTCCAAACTGTTTTACAAGTCTCTGATTATTAAACTCTGTTATTTTGTACATCTTCCTGACAGATGCTGGCATAGGTGTGTGGTTAGGTAACTGTTGTGCAATGTTTCTGAGAATCAAACTTCACTAGAGTTTTAGAATTTATTGAGTCTTAATAAAATTTCTGCAGGGATAACACCTCAAGGAATTATTATTGGAACTCTTTTGGGAATAGTGCTTCATGTAAGGTTTAGTCCAGATGATCAACAAGTGGCAGTATGTGCTGAAAATCGGATCTACGTGTTAAGTGCAAAGGTGAGATACCATTCTTTTTAGCTATGTTGATATTGCTCCTTTAGCTTATTATAATGATACAGTTGTGTCAGAATAATTAATCAAATTCAGTCATCTTCTCATATACATGAAAATAAGTATTAACTAATGCTTTATAATGAATCATATACTGGATAAGAGACTAGAATAAAAAGTTGAAACAATACCTCAATAACTTAGAAGTAGAAAACATTCTGACAATATCTGAAAAATTACTCCTACGTCATTCATTTTGAAGAAGCAAATGTAGCATTTAGTGTTTTTGCCAGCAGAATGATATAAAGGGCTGCATTTGGCTTAAGAAAAATCTTACTGAATTTATATTTTGAACACAAATCTGATATTTTTAATAATAATTATTAATTATTAAAAGCTTGAACTAATTGTCAGTTTTTGTTTTAAATCTGATTTGTTTTTGTTTTGGCTAAACTTATCACAGAATGAAGCTATACTAGCTGAATTGAATGGTCACCTGGCTCCAGTTACTGCTGCTGAATTTTGCACATGGCAGAGAAATGTGCTTATATCAGTGTCTGAAGACAGAAGCTTTAAGGCAAGGAAATTGTAGAGCTGCACTTTAAAAGATATATAGTGAATTTTTGAAGTAAAGTTGTCTTTTTTCTTTACAAATGTTTACTGCAAGTTAAGCAAAAATCATCTTTGACTTTGTAGAAATCATGACATTGTTCTTAAGAGATGCTAGGGAAATTATTATATATATGTATAATATTATATATATATATAATATAATATAAATTAAATTATATATATTATATATAAATATAATATATACATTATATATATATATTTAAAATGCAGATTTTATATATTAAAAACTTTCTATGATGAAGTGTTAACTTTGGTAATTTTTATTATTTGGCAAATGAACACAACATACCTTGATCTGTTTGGCTGTAATTGAAGTGTTTCAGTATACTGAACTGAATTAAAGCATTCCACTTCGAGTCTGCTGACAATGATTGGAATATTCTGTTATGGGAATATTGGTTTGATGTATCACATGGTACACATGTCTGGGTTATTAGATACTGCTAGGATTTTTTGCCAGACAGCATTTTACATGATGACACCATAGACTGCTGCTGTTGTATACACGATGACAGCTGAAGACATCTTAGGCAGTAAGGAGGAAAAAGGAGCCTGGGTGAATGCAGGTGTGTCTTCCATGAGATATTGGGATGGGTGCTTTGAATAGATGCAGTTTAGTCTTCCACTGATTGTCCTCTATATCCCTCTAAACATAGCCCAACATTTGATTCAACATGCTGAAGTAAAAGCAGATTTTGCTGTTTTTTTTGTAAACAGCATTTTTTGTTATGTAAAGTGCAAATTTACATATATTTATTTTTAAATTTAATTTTTATGGATCTCTGAGAAAATGCTGGTTTGATTTTTGTCCTTGTCTTGAACAAAGAAAATGCAAAGATAGAATTAGAATTTTAGGAAATAATAATTCTGACTTTCTGATTGTTTCTTATTTAGTTTACATTGACTGAATAAATTAAATAAAGGTGAAAATGACTAAAGAAAAGCTCTTTATGCTCTTTCTTATGATTTTGATGAAGAATTGATAAATTAAACAAAGTTCTAATGATAAGGTGTTTTCACCCGGATAAAAATTGGGACTAAAATGACAATCAGATGAAAAAATCTGTCAAGTCTATCAAATAATTTAGTAAGACTGTCTTTCTACTTTATTTGCCCTGACTTATTTTGCAGGTTAGGGGCAATTCTCTAAGGGCAGCAACACTGGAGTCTATGGTAGTTGGCTCCAGTGGTTACAGGACACAGGACATCCAAAGCCTCATGCTGCCCTAGTCCTTTTACAAGGGTAAAGAACTGCAATGGGTGAGAATCTCTTCAGATAAAATGAAAAACAAAATCTAGGAAGCAGCTTTTTTAGTAGAATATTGAAGCATGAACAAAGCAAAAAGCTTGGGCAATATACAAAGGCACACAGCCATGTTTGGAGAGCAGGGGCTGTCTGGCTGCAATGCTTTTAATCTATGCTGTGATAGCTATTGTAAACATAGTAGAAGAAATTGTGTTGAGGAAGGCTTGTAGTAGTAGCAGCATGAGAGGAGAGTTTTGTTTTTATTTAGCTTTCTTAGTCAACATAATGATGAAAGCTGATTTTTTTTTGTGAATATATAGATCATAATAATTAGCATTATTACTACTAATAATCTCTTATTGTAGGGCCCAATAGCAAAATTGTGAAATCATGCAAACTTCCTGTGTGAAATCTAGAACAAGTTCAAGTGTATGTCTTTACATTATTTTAGCTTAACTTTCAAGATCTCTTAACTTCTGATTGCTTTGTGTATCCATACCAGGTGGGTTTCCTTATCAGTTAAACAAACGTGAACATGGGGTGAAAAACAAAACAACAGCTGCTGAAAATAACCTTACTGTATTGTATGAAGGGTTGCGTTTCCCTGTTTTCACCACGTGATGGCCTTTAAGTTTGTGTTTTCCTCAAAGATCTAAGTAGATGCCTATCTTTATTTATTTATTATTTCCCCCTAAAGGTATGGGACTATTCTACTGGTCTGTTAATATATCAGTCAGGAATATTAACAGGTAATTTTTATTTTTATGTACCTTTTCATAACATCTGTCTTCGACAATAAAATAAATTCATTATAGATGTATTTAGTTGAGCTAGTCAAAATATTTCTAATAAATTATATGCTAGTAAATATATTGTCCTTTAAAGCCATTTCTTTTCAGGGTAGATAGTTTTAGTGTACTTTCATAAGCATTTCTGTTTGTACAGGGAGTGCATATAACTCTTGGCAATTAGTGAGATATACAAATAGGAGCCCTTTTGTTTTGTAGATACAGCTCCACTCTCTATGGACTTTCTTTCTTTCAAGTTTTGTATATGACATGAAAGGACATTTTGTGTACCATAGGTAGATTTATTAACAGGGTCTCTAGCTAAAGGCATACATTGACTTTAAAAATGTCAGTGACTTTTGTGGAAAGAGGAGAACAAAAGGAATGAAGAGGAATACAAACATCTCTAGTGCAGCAAGGACATGCCTCGCCAATAAAATGTCTCCTGAAGTAACAGATAGTTTTCACTGGGACCTGCTTAAACTCTGTGCTCATTGTTCCTGCTTATGGTGCAGCTAGTACAGGTTGGAGCATACTTCGACTAGAGACAACAGGTGCATGGGAGTTAGTTTTTAGTCTTTGTTAATTATTATTATTATTATTCATCGTATCATCATCATAATAATTATTATTATATGATGATACGATAATAATAATAATAATAATAATAATAATAATAATAATAATATAAATAATAATAATAATTATTATTATATGCCCAAAAGTAAACTAAAAGTTCTAACCACATGGTAGGAAAGGAGAGGAAGAAGGGAGACCACACCCATTGCCTACACGTATGGCAATTGCAACACTTGAAAAGCTTTTTTTAACACTAATATCAAGGTTTGCAGGTAAAAGGCCATGAGAATAATTGTGTAGGAGCAGCAAGGGAAAACTACTACTACAGGGGCTCTGAAAACCATTGCCATAGCAGCTTGGGTGAAAGCATGTGGAAAACCACTGTCATGGTAGTGATTTAGAAGGTTACCCAAAAGCACTGCCATGGCAACTTGGATGAAAGGCAGGCTGCAGACCTGCAAGTGGAAAGCCCATTGCAATGCAAAAGCAATGGCCCTTTGCAGCTGTAAGGATTGCAGTAAGGGTGTTGTTGTTTTTCACCTGTCCTTATCAATAGGAGGCATCAGTTTTGAATTGTGTGTTTTAATAAAATATCTGATTTCTGTGTACTCTGGAAATAATTGCACCTCTTTTGGCGCAGCATATCCTTTGCAAAGCCTGCTAATTGATGAAAAAAGTAAACAGATTATCACTGGATGTGGTGACGGACAGGTAAGAATTAGACATAAAAATTAAACTCTGTATGACAAAACACTCACCTGTTATTAATTATCTGTCTAGCAAAAATCTTCACAATTTGCATACAAATGTTGAGTTGTTACAACAATTATTTTTGTAAGCATAATTCATTGCTTTGAGTATGAACCATGCAAGGTGTATAATACCTCTATTATATAATGCGATCTTCTTCCTGAAAATCAGGAAAGGTTTTAGAACTACAATCAGTAAGTACATAGCATGCATACACTGAGGGTCTATAAGTACATCCATTTTAATAGAAAAAAAGGTGTAAAACAGAATTGTACTTTTTTGGCCAATGGTTGAAACCCATGACAATAAATCAGAGAGGCCAGGATTTCAGTGTGGTGGAATTCTAAGCAAAATATGATGATGTGACTATGCATTTCAGCTGCTCTTTAATTTAATGTTGAGAATATATTTACCTGAGATTTTTCTATAGCATTTAAAGGCTACTCGTTGTTGTTTAAACACTTAACTATAGTGGTGCCTAAAAAGAAAAAGGTAAAAATGATATTTATTTCCATGGCTCAGTGAAAAATTGTGTGCACAATACCTTTGATTTTTAATTGTAGGAAATAATCTGTGAGAAGTGTTTTTCAAAGATTTAAACATGGGAATTAGACATGCAGTTTAAATTGACAGTGGCTTCTTTTGCTGATATTGAAGATAACCATTGATGATCTTGGAATATAAATTCATAATTTAATTTCAGTCCAAGGTGAGATTCCAATTATAAAAAAACATTAATTGTATCATATATAATGTATAAAAATACATTAATTACATCTTTAATATTGGACCTCTAGTTCTTATCCATGTAAGCTTTATGTTTAGTATCAAGAAGTTATTGCAATTACTTTCACTTTTTCTTGCAGCTCCGGATCTTCAGTTTAATCACTGATCATAATTACCGTTGTGTGGCACGTATCGACTTAAAGAAAGAGCAAGAGAAATTCTGTAATAAAATCTGGAAATCTGGCAAAGAATCAGGTAGCATAGTTCTTCTAAGATGCTGATATATTTCAATTATTATTGGTAATTGTGTGTGTGCCTTTGATACCATGAGAATTTATTATAAGTGATAGAGTTAATGAATCTCAATGACATGGAATTCTTACTGAAGCTGAGGTAAAGCATATTTAGGGGCTGTTAGTATATGGCTTTCAGAGTCACTTTTTGATATGAATGTACCTAGCTTCTACAAATCATTTTCAGTCCTTAAGTAAACTTTTCAGAATTTATTAAGTATTTGAAAGAAAATAGTACTAAAAATAACACAGTATTGAGGAGAGCTGTTTCAAGAAGGCTGGCTCTTAGGCTACCTCCATCTTTTGAAATGGAAATTAATTGTGGTCTTACATGTATTTCATGCTACTTTACTATATTACTTCGAATCCTCTCTTAAATGCCATCCGTTTCCCTCATTTCATTGTTTTGTTGATAGATGGTATTGTTGATTGGCTGTCTTTAGGTGAAAGACAAAATAATTCCAAGCTTTGCAAAACAAACAGCGTGAGACCAGAAGGATCAGTGGAAACATCATTGTCTATCCTCCTAATTGAACACTGCGACTGCTCAGAATGTTTCTGTAACGAAGAAAACATGTAAGTCCGTTAAAATATTACCAAGTATATGACTGGAATCTATTCCTAGGAGTTCCTGTTGGTTCTCAAAATACTTTCACTTCAATTTACTATTTCTTTTTTAATGTGACAGGTAAAACAGAGAATATATTCAGTCATCTGCAAGTTTTAGTGATCTACTCTTAGATAATATACAGAAAGTGATACAAAGTTAAAACAGGTTACTAGTCTGAAAAATAATTTTATGATAAATGGGAATATCCACTTTGGTATCTCTTGATACCAGCTGATCAGAACTAACAAGTTAAAAGTATTTAATTAGAATTAATAACTCAAATTTATTTTTAGCTTGCTTTCTGAAGGAAATAAGTCTGATGCAGTCACTGCGTGCCTGTGTCAGTTTGCCTTCCTAATGTAAATGTTTAAACTTCATAGCCTGTCAGAGAGACAGACATTTCAAATCATGATGGTTCCTATGGAATTGGTTGGCCAAGTAAAGGATGTATATCTAAATTAAATCTTATATTGCAGCTCTTTCCTGGAGAGAAGTTTAACCCTATTAACAGACATCCAGGAGTCTATTCCAGATACGGTCACAATAAATGTTTCATAGAACAATTTGATTTTATTGTTATCTATAACTGGCACTTGGAAAAATTTCTCAGCCAAGTTGTGTTTCAGCAAATGTTTATTCCAGTCTTTGCTCTCAGGTGGGTTGTACAGGTATAGCTGATTAATACTCTGGTTAGATTTATAAACATTTTTGATAAAGAGAGAAGAAAAATATCCATCAGTCTTGGATCATTTTGTTTGACTTTATGTCAAATTGAGGTAATTATTTACAAACAGCTATTTCCATGATGCCCACATTTTCTACCTTAGAGAGGAAGGAAATGGCGAGTTCTGAGACATACATCTCAGACTTACTTGAATGGGATATCAGACCTCTAAGACCAAGAGAGGAATAATTACAGTCAGTTTGTTTTAATGCTTGTATAATACCACTCTCAAATCTTGACAGCTTTACCTTCATGAAAACTATAGATTTGATTAGACCTCCTTAAACATGTCTAGTTTTCTAGCAATGAAGAATTCACTATGTCCCTATGTAAGTTTTCCCAGTAACTGACTCATTCCATTCTACTTCTCATCTGAATTACTTGTGATGTACAGTTATTGGCTCTTTGTATGTTTTTTATTCTGGTAATCCAGAGCCAGCTATTATCAAGTTCCCTCCTTGCATAGCTACTTACAGGTCACTAACAAGTTATCTCTATACTTAATCCTGGATAAAATAGTTTGAGCCCTGTATAAGGCATATTTTCTGTACCTCATACCAATTTTTAACATTTTCTTTTGAACCTTTTCTGAACCTCAGTCTCACTTCTTTTTCAATGTCTTTTTTGGAAATGGTTGCCTGAAATAAATCCACACCAGTGGCTTAAGTAAAATAAACCACTGAATAGAAATACCCCTGTTAGCTCTCAATAGAGTTAGCATTACTATTCTCCTGGTATTGCCTGGAACTGTACACCTGGCATTGTAAAGACTAATTAGCCTTTTAGCTATGGCATCAAGAACATTTTGTTCTGCTTCTAAACCACCATGATTTTTAAATTTTTACTATTAAAAAGTTTCACAATGGTTTGTTTTAAAAGTTTTGTGGTTAGAAGTAGTTTTCCGTTTGATTTTTAAATTATCGTGTGTTGTTTTTTTTTTTAGTAGAGGTTCAGATTCGTTTGAACAATTGACCAGTCCTGGATTTTGCCACTTTTCCTGCCTGCAAAGAAATGCAAAAATCAAATGCTTCTGCAATACTGGTGTACAAAAATTTTATGGGTTTCATATTTCCCTAAGCTTTTTGAACGTGAATAGTTTCATTGCAACAAATGACATTTTATTATTGTAAAGTCAGTGTGAAATCAACTTCCTGTGTATATAACTTGATATCATTTTTCCTAATAACTTGATAATACCACTTCTCACTGTATAAACATTTCAAAGAATTCACAAATTAATTCAGTCTGTATTTTCAGTGTATGAAAGCAGTGCAAACCACAAATAAAACTATACAGAGCACAAAAAAAAAAAAAGTATTAAACCACTGTGGTGACTCTTTTCATGCCAACCATCAACTTTGTGTTTTTCTATATCCTCATTTCAACTTTTGTGGTCTGACTTTGCAAATCAAATAGATAAGTGTACTCACTTCTATTTGCAAAAAATATTTAAATATTTATGACAGATCTTATTTACTGTGGCATCAAAACATTTTTAGTTTTTGAGAATGGCAACATTTATTTGGTATAATCAAGTTATGCTTGATAACGTTTTACTTCCGTGAGGGTGCTGACTGAAGCTGTAGCCAGTTGGTCTGCTCTGTGGTGTTGGCAAACACTGGATTTCATTACATAACTGCAGTATTATGACCACTAGGCAAAGACTGATGCAGACAGTTGAAGCTTGGCTTTTTATTTTTTTCCCCTAATTTTTGCTGTTTCATCTCTTGTACTGTTGTAGTCTACCAAAACCACCTGAAGTTTCGCTTTTTTTTTTTCTTTTTTTTTTCTGTGTTCATATTACAGATGGTAAAAGTAAGGAAATATTTAGATTTATCTCTTCATTCGAATTTACTTTGTGTGCATACAGTGCTTTTACAGCATCTCCCAGCTCTTACAAACCACAGTAATTTTTGAAGTATATCCTATGCTGTTTTAGATTTGCCACGAGCAATTACATGAAATCAAGAATTGTGTTCTCTTCCTAGTTTTCAAAACTTCACAAAGTTTGATTGAAGATTTGTACTTTATCCTACAGATTTAAAAAAATACTGTAGACTTAATAAATCACTCCAATAAAGATTTTATTGTTGTCATAGTGGAATTGGTAATGAGTATTATTGTATCTTGTAATAAGAATAGCTTCTTCATCACACTCACTTTTTTTTTTTTTTTTTTTATTAGACCTTACACCCTGAATACTAGCTATTTTTGGATAGGAACCTCTACTGGATTGTTAATTATTAATTTGACAACCTTTGAATTGGAAGCTTTTTTATGTTACAAAGGTATGATCATAAAGTATCTGACTACAACATAATGGGATTGCTTTTCTTGTCACCTGATATAAAAGTATAACAATTAGTTTACCAAATAGCATAATACAGTAGAAATGAAGTTTTAAAAAATATTTTATTTTAATATTTTATTTTTATATGTTTTTCTGTCATTGCTGACTTGTTTCAAAACATGTCACTGCTAGATTTCTGTAGTGGCTAGTGATGAATTTTTATCAAATTTTACAACCTAACTAGATGTTGTTCTACTCCTGCTTTACAATGTGAAGCTTCTTAAACAAGCTAGAATGATATACAGTGAAAAGAGTGGGTTATGATGTTGTCAAGCTTGTGTAATTTTTTTATGTTTTAATTTTTTTTTTCCATTTTCAATATAAATACAATTCTATACCACCATGTTCTTTTTGGTAAAGATTACAGTGGCCTAAGCATTCAGTTTGCTGTATCATGTGCATTAACTAAGAAGACAGTTAATGGAAAGGTAAGTATACATTAAACGTTGACTTAATGAATGTTTACATTTCCATTTTTTAATAAGCATTAATTCTGCATTTCATTTACAGATTAATGTACAACTTTGAGTTTTTTTTTTTGTTGTTTTTGGGTTTTTTTTTGTGAATTATACAGTAGTTTCTCTGGAGGTGCTTGATTCTTTATGGAGCTTAGTACTTTTAATAGCTGGGTAGTTTTAAAGCTCTCACAATTTGGATACTATCTGAAATGATTAATAAGAAAAAAGTGAAGTGTTTTTTATAGTAGTTGGTGTGTACCTTGGACACTGAGAATGACCACTGTGGGAGCAGAGGCACTTCTTAAGGGAGAAAAGCGTATACATGTTGTTACACCTTTTTCTCAAGTAAATGCTGGGATGAACTGCTTCTGAATCCTTCCAAAAAACCCTGCTAATGCTATTTGAGTTGTGAGAAAAATTCTGTGGAAAATCACCAAAAGAGCTTTTAAGGAAAATAAAGGTGATGTTTCTATGCTCCATTTTTTATATTAGTTTTCTTATAGAAGTGAGCTGAGCCTTGCTTCATATTTGACATAGCAGTGTTTTCTTTTAAAGAAGGCTCTCTCACTTAAGTAATTCACTTGTGTTAATCAGTTCTCAGTGTGTTCTCAGGATGACTCTGAAACCAGTCTTTCCTCCATGTGTGACTCTTTTCTCATGACTCTTACTGCATAAATATCTGTATTGTAGAAGGTGGTGTGATTTCTGTGAGTGTTAGGTATGAAAGTCTGTTAGGGCACATATTTAAGCAGCATAAGCATATTTTTGAAGGAAAGCATTAAGCACTTTTTACTGCTTAAAACTCCGTGAGATGAAATTGATGGACATTTTTGAGTAATTTCATAAATGACACAAAATAATTCTCTACTACAAATGACTTAGAGCTTAAATTACAAAGTACATGGAGTGTTAGTTTGCAGTATAATTGCTGCAGGTTTTATGCGTGATCACCTCAATGTTTGAAGATGTGATTGCTGTGTTGGAGGTTAACCTTCCTGCATTGGTGAGATCTCAGCAGGGTGGTATTTTCATAAGAACAAGTGAGAAGAGTCTATCAGTCATTGCCAGGTACAGTATAACTTGAAGTGGTTTGTTTGTTTCTTTTTTTGTTTGTTTGTTTGTTTTCTTGCTTGCTGAGGGAGCACCCTGATCCATCATCCAGATTATTAGAATAGATGTTGAATAGGATTGGACCCAGTACTGGCCCCTGGAGTACTCCACTGGTTACTGGCCTCCAACTAGGCCTTGGCCACTGATCACTGCCCTCTGGGCCTGTCTGTTCAGCCAGTTTTCAACCCCCTCACTGTGCTCATCCATCCCATACCTCATCAGCTTTTCTGAGAATCTTATGGGAGACAGCGTGAAAAGCCTTACTAAAGTCCACGTAGACTATATCCATTGCTTTCCCCTTGTCTACCAGTCCAGTCATTTCATCCCAGGAGTTCATTGGTCAAGTATCACATCCCCTGGTGAATCCATGGTGACTACTGATGACTCCTTCATGATCTTGGAAGTGGTTTTCAGGAAAACGCTGAGATCTTGAAGTCACTGGAAAATGTACAGTTTACAGCGAAGAGAAGTGAAGATTTCAGTGCTTATAACATCACCACTTAGAATTCAAAGAAATGAGATTTTAACCTGTAAATGCACTGGCCTGTGAATATAGTCTGGACTGAGGCTTGCTTATGCTTCTGGGTATCTGAAATGATAAGTGATATACTCCAAAAAGCGCACTGGTATCGCACACATACACACAAATAACTAAAAAGTTTTGACACCTTTTCCTAATCTGTTGCTTTTGTCCATTGCATTGATTGATTTGTGGTTTTGGCTTTATAACTTAGGTGTTCTTTGTCGCCAGAATCTCCATTGCGTAAAGGTTTAAATAAAAGCAAAAAGGAACCTTCTAGGAAAACACTTGGTAAGTGTAAAACAATTTTGATATTGACTAATAATGTTATATATTTTAAAACAATAACTGACTCCACTATGTGGTGCCTATTATAATAAATATATTCATTTCTCTTATACTCGGCATTTTATTTTTATTTCATTAGAAAGAATTTTATTCTTATGCTGATATTTCATATCCCACATATGTATTTGTAGTGAATGGTAATATAGCATTTTTCTTCTTTTAAATATAATCCTCTGAGAACTTTGGGTTTTGAAATAGTTGAAATGTGTAGAAAGTTTACATTTTCCACAAGTATTTTCACAATATGTAATATATTTTTATATATAAAAATTAATATATTTTTATACATAAATATAATATATTTATATATATTTATATATATATTATATATTTATATTATATATATTATATACATATTTTTATATATACTATATAAATATTTTATATTTATATACAATATATTATATTTTCTTTCTTAATTCTAATAACATGTTTTGATTAATTTTATCCTGAAGAGTCTTCTGTTAATACCTGTAAGATTAGAAAGTTTTGCCTCAGGTTCCTGATATTTGACTAAAAACCAAACATCAGACTTCCAGTTGCTGTGGGAGCACATGTAGCTTCTTTGCTTAACAATAGCAAAACTAAGTCCAGAAAATAGATAGAATATATACGTTTTTCATCATCAACTTTTCTTTAGAAAAGATAGAATATTACCGTTAGCTGTAGATGTGTAGAATAATCTATTTTGATTATATTGATCGTACTTCATGTACGTGCTAGAATGTCAAAGGTTATGTTTTTAATTTTGTTTGATATTTTGAGAATGCATCTACAATGTTTTAGCTAGAATTCCAGCCTGCTTCTGAAACCCAGCACTGATGCCAGTTTTACTCTCATTGACATGTCTCATTCAGATAGTTTAGGTGCTGTAAGGAAATAAATCTATTATTGCAAGTGGTGTTGGGAGTTCCGCAGGAAGGACCCTTTTTTGCCTCTTCACTACTTAGAAAGAGAGGATAGCTGGTGGGAGTTGAAGGCGCATCTATCCTCAGCATAGGTGAATGTGCCCACAAGATCACTGCCAATGCACCTGAAGTTTTCCTCTGGGAATATGAACAAGTTTTCCCCTTTTACATCATTTATGTAATTAGTTTGTTTCTGCTGATAGGAAATGCTAATAATTTAGTTTTGATTGGAGGCTGAGGCTTCTCAGGACAGCAGCATAACTGCAGCTTTTATTAATGACTTCTAAAGCCACATAAAAGAACAAACATTTATTTGTACCTGCCAGTCTGTTTATTAAAAATCTTTGGATTTGTTCTATGTTACAAATATAGGGCGTGAATAGATTATAACTAGTGCTTATAAAATCTAAGCATAAAATAGGCAATTACAAAACAAATTTGTGAGTCAATGATGAAAAAAAATCCTCAGAACAGTATTTTTGTTAGTTCAAAGTTTAGAGAAGTTCCTACTTAATACTATTGGAGAAGGGATATTATTCAAAGGAACAGTTTATATTTCTTTCCTTTTCTCAATATTCACTATTTTAGAATAATTGGTCATAAATATGCTTTGTAACATAAAGAGACATTAAAAATTGCTAGAGCAGAAGTTTAACTGTGCATCTAAAAACTTGTAAAAATATAATGTTAAGAAACACTTTAATAAATATTAAGTTACTTTACTATAGGTGTGAAAAGCACTGTGAAAGATCAGCCATTGGTTTTCCATTATAAAATTCAGTCATCAGGATATACAGCAGCACCACGGTGAGTAGATATGTTAGTATTTTAGCTGTTTTACTGGTGTATATTTTATCACATAATAGGTATGTGTAGTCTCACCACTGTGAAATTAATGACCCATGAAAGGTAGATATTATATTAACAAACAAAATATTTTAAAAAATGTGTTGTAAAAGAAACATTTTACAGCTTTTGATCGGTGTCTTGAAATGAAAATTTCTGTGTACGTTTGCATAGTGCCTGTTTCCAAGTACTATGTCACATCCCATTTAGCTCTTTCCCTCATTCTACACATACAGAGTATTCTCATGTCAACATACAGAGAAGTACGTCTTTCATTTCATCTTAGCCATCTGTTGAGATGGGCTATGTTACAATTTTGTGAGTTGTATAACCTCTCCTTGCTGGTGTGGTATTGTCTTTGAAGAACTTTTTGGTAGTGGTTGTTTTTTAGGAGCCTCTAAAATCTCTTGTGAAATAGTTCTCTGAAAGTTGCTGTAACTTTGCCTATGTCCTTTGGATGCTTGCAAAGGTTTCTCTTGGGATGAACAGTTCACTCAGATGGAATGAGCAGTGTTGTGCTAGAGTTCCCCAGAGAAATGGAGATTTTATGTCTGTGTCTCAAAGCTCATGGTGATCCTAGACAAGGCACTTCGTTTTTGGTATGGATTATGCTGGACAGTACCATTCTTGTGCATTATAACTGTTATAGCATAAATATAATGGTGCAAGGTATTATATGAGAAATTATCCTTATTTTGGATTCAAGTGGGTGTTGGAACTGAGACATGAAGCCTGTCAGCAGTAGACTTGTGCACGTTTTAAGTGGTCTGGGGAAAAACCACTTAGGTTTACAATTTTAGCTACTGGGAGCTCTGGTTTTATATTCTGAGAACAACTATTAGAGGCTGGGACCTCAAAATAAATTTAATGACTTTGAAATGATGGACCCATTTTTGCTGGGGTCCATGATTCCTGAATGTGTTGTGTGTGTTCCTGGTTAAGTGAATATACAGACTGTGTTGTCTTCTCTCTTCAGTTTCTCTAAACCTGAAAGCTTTAGGTAAGATAGGATGAACTTGAGCACTGGACTCTGTTAGTTCAGGAAAGATCTATTCACCTCATCCCTAATTTTGTGACATAGAATTTCCTTGTTTTATCAAACTCACCATTTAAGTGTTCATTGAGAACATATCTTGAAATGTTCCTTCATCAAAAAATCAGTGTCAGAGGAAACTAAATCTGGCTTAAGGGCTTCTATAAGATTGTACCCTCATCTCTTGTGTCTTGTTTGTTTACTTGTTAGTTGAAAGAGTTATTGGTTGTGTGCCATCATTGTGATGATGCGTAGGAAAGTTAATTCATAACTTCAGTACCTTTCATTCATCCCACCCACCAGAGTCATCCCTGGGAAACATTCTGAGTTGCTTTCTAACAGGGTGTCAGACTTCCACCTTATCCCAAAAAATCACTTTTGTTGTTTCACCTGATTTTTTTTTTTTAATGATTATTATTTGTTGAAACTGGTGTTGCTATATGAAGAGTTGTGCTGCACTTGCTGGCTTTATGTTTTGTCAACTCAAAACTTACCTTCCCCTTTCAGTTGTTCCAGTTTTCCTTCAAAATCTGTACTAGGCATTCTCTCTCTTTTTTGAAACTCTTCTCATTTCTTCAGTCTGCAGAAAGAAATATCTGAGGACTTTATGAGAATGGATTTTGGTCTTCAGAATGCTTTATCCAAAAAGTAACTCACAGAAAGCAGAACTTATCTGTAAATTTGAGCATTAGATCATTAAAGATACCTTTATCATTCATTGTGCACATTATCTTACCTACTGATGTTAGTAGCAGGCATAAATAGTAAGAAGGAACTAGGGTTATATTTTGTTTGAAACAAACTGTTTCTCTTTCATGAAACATTTAATGTTTCATATAGGAGAGTCTCTGTTCTTTCTTGTAGAATGACCATGTTTTCTCCAAATACTAACCTGAAGAAAAATTATATATCAAAGCGGAAGACCAGTGTTGAATGGTAGGTAACCTAGCAACTGCATTAGAAGAAGAACAAATTAAAATGAGTTCTGTCATAAATATTATTTGTAACTGCTACTCTCATGGGAACGCTTTAGTTAGGAGTATCAATAGAACTAAAATGCTTTGTAAATTTGCTACAGAATGGCTGTAACAAGTGATTCATGTGATCAGATTGACAATTAAAACTGATTAAGTCTTATGCAGAAAATCTACACATTTATTTTACTTGGATTTTTTGTTGCTAGACAGTAAAATAGGTGTTAATTATGGTTGGAGGCAAAGTCCCAACAAGATCTTAACCTGCAATTCTAGTCAGAAAAGCAATGGAATGTGGCAAGGTGAGACTTAATGATTTCCTATCATGTGCCTCAGTCACTCCTAAAATCAAGTATAATCAAGCTCTGTTATTTATACAGAGATTGCATAATGATACAGTTTGGCCAGTGGATTCATGATCACTGTGGATACAAAGAGCTAATATTTTTTTAGAGCTGGCACTTTTAATTTGTGTGGTACATTAAATGGGGATATCACACACATTTTTTTCTCTTTCCACCAAAATTCTACAAAATAGTCATTGTTCTTTGTAGTACAAACAGAAAAATAAAGATTGATGAATGCAATTTTTCTTTTTCTTCTTAAACTCTTAAAAATTAATAGATGGTGTCTGAGTTTTTATATTCCTTGCACACATATGTAAGCCTTTAGATGAGCATTTCAGATGATTTTCAATATTGGTTTGCATTATTTTGTGATGGATTAAGCTACTTAGCACTTACTGTTTTGTTTAATATGTTGTTAAATAGATAAGTGTCACTCTTGCTTTTATATATATATGGACATATTTTTTCATATTGCTTACTGTCACAAGGTAGTTTGTGTTCTTAAAATAATTTCACTAGTTAATTATAAATCTTAAAAAGATTGATTTTCTGTAAAATTCCATGTTAATTCTTGATTTTATGAATTTATAGCAGTTATAGAAGTTAAGTATGACAATTTTTAATTTGTTCTGTCCCTTATCCTGGATTTAACATAAATTCAGGGAATATAACATAATATTCAGGGAATATTTACATAAAGATACTTACAATAACTCCCCAAATAACATTTAGTTCATAATTGAAATGACATACTACTGGTTTTAGGTATCTCAATATTTTTCCTCTCTTTCTCTCTTTCCCTTCTTTGAAGTACACGTAAAGAATATCCTTTGGAAAGTTCTCCTCCAATCAACTATGAGAGAGAGATATCTGTTACTTGTAAACCAACCCCAATCTCTTGCATTCAGTATTCCGGTATGTATAGGTGTTATAAAAGGTACTCTTGGTTCCCTTGTGCAGACAGAAAAACAAAATTTGTGTAATGTGGTTTATTAAGGCCATGGATTTGCTAGGCAAATTCCCAGAAAACTCTGGCATCTACTGTCTGGTCATAATTTTTTACCTTGCAAATGCATGCAAGCTGCTTACATGTATGCAAAAGGATTGTAATTCCTCTCCGACTTACATCTTGTTTGCTTTTGGACTCGTTCTATCACTTTTCCATTACAACTTGAAAATTAGTAGTCTAATACATTCTTTCATTAAGGAAGTTTATCTTCTGAGACATTTCTTTAGTGTTGTTAGAGTGTATTAGAGGCTGAAATTCTTTTTAAAGATAATCAGAATACTTCTATTTTTTATGTAAAAAATATTCAATTGTTATATATAAACATGCCTAAAAAAGAATTGTTGAATATAATCCAAAGAAGAGTATTTTTCTTAACTGCTTTGGAAAAGTGAGTCTTGTCATAGGTTTAGTCATTTCCAATCCATATAAATAATACTATATAAAAATAACTTCCTAGTTCAGCAATCAAATGTATCACCAAGTATATAAATATATCAATCTACACTCTGCAAACCACAATGCATACAAAGTATTTAAAAATGTATATCTTTATAAATATTTTGGGGACAAGGACAATTTTAATCTTCAAGAAATAAAAGCAAACTAGATGCAATCAGTAACTTCTAAAACATACTTCAGCCCTAAGTGTTCCCTAAAGACCTGGAAGAAATTATTTTTATGGCTCATGAAGGAAATCAGTTGCAGAGAGATCTTTTGTAGGAATGCTCCATGATCTTAGAATTAAAGGCTCCTTTTTAGGAAAAAAATATAAATAAGTAAATAAATAAACAAACCAACCAACCAAACAAAAACAACAATCAAAAAAACAACACTATAGTTTTGGTAATACATTTTAAGGAAATACACTTTTACTTAATCCGAGTAGGGAACACCTCCCTCCCTCCCTCCCTCCCTCCCTCCCTTCCTTCCTTCCTTCCTTCCTTCCTTCCTTCCTTCCTTCCTTCCTTCCTTCCTTCCTTCCTTCCTTCCTTCCTTCCTTCCTTCCTTCCTTCCTTCCTTCCTTCCTTCCTTCCTTTCTCTTTTTATCTATCTGTCTGTACTTCACACAGACTTAAACAGGAACATTTTTGCATAACAGGGTTTAACAAAATATATTTTTTTTTTGAGTAAAAAAAGAAACATATGATTATAAGCTTGCAAAGATGTGTTCTGTTATTGTTACAGGTCTTTAAAATATGTTATATTGTCTTTAAAAAGTTATTGAGAGTGACTAATGTGTGCTTTTTTAATACATGTGAAAAGGTGACGTAACTTCTAATATGAAGATACAGAAAAATGAGTGTAAATCAGAAAATAGATTTATATGACTGCTAAAAATTTATGCACTGAAAATGTTTAGTACTTTTCTTTTGGTAAAAAGTGAATTTCTGCCATGTGATGAATAACTATTGTGTGAATGTCAGGAACAAAATAAATTAATATGTGTACAAATTCCTACCAAATTCTGCAGTGTGAGTTTATGACATTCATACAAAAAATGTTTTAAATGTGAAATGAATATCTAGTGTGTGTTTTGTTGTAGCAGCATGTGATTTTTATGAATGAAAGAACATCACATTATATCCTTGTTGCTTTCAAACTTAAATCATCAGAATCTCTTTATAGGGGATGGAGGGCAGCTGGCTTGCGGGCTGGTTGACAAGACTGTACTGATATTCGATGCCAATCTCACCGATACGTGTAATGTTTTTTCAGGTAAACTTATGAATTACATAATTAAAAGGATAGTATACAATTGTGTTTAACCTAAAGTGGTGTATTAATTAAAAAATTCTACTTACATTACCCTGAGAAGAATGGGGGCGGGAGATGCTTCTGATTCAGGAAGCATAAATTATTTCTCTGACTGGTTAATTTTGCTCTAGAATTGAACTGCCCACAAGTTTTTCAAATTTTTCAGTTTTCTGGGAGGTAAATAGTAGCAATGTATCACAGTATATATTACAATCTGCAATGTGTGGGTATTGTATGGATGTGTATTACAATAGTTAAGTAGAAATAGGAAAAGCAATATATTGCAATAATAAAAATATTGTGTATACTGCAGTAATATATTCTAATAGATTATTAGCCAAAAAATGACTGATGACTTGGCAAATTATGTGATTGGTGTGAAACTATGTACTTCTAAATTTGAACTATTTGAAATAGGAGGAACTGTTCCTATGGAGAAACCCATGCCTGTAAATTGTATGTGTGCATACATTTGTGTATTACTTTACATTGTAAAATTAGCCTTTAAGAGTTCTAAATTTCTATAGGCAAATTTTTTATAGCAGTAAATGTTATGACTAAAATTCACAGAACAAGACTGACTTTGTGGAAGGTCATAATGGAAAATGCCTGCCATTTACTAGTAGGCCTCATCTAGAATAAAAGCAGACTATTTTCAGTATTTTTAACAATTTTCAAAAATTATTTCTAAGTAAAAACCTTCGTTTGTTTGTTTGTTTTTTGAGTACCTTTAATTGTATTTTGTGGAAGAATCTGTGGAAAAAAAACAACACTGTCCATGGAAAAATTACAAAATATGAATATTGATGCTCAGTCATAGTATGAAGTGTGTTTAAAAATAGGAACTATTAAGAAGATTGACATTATTGATATCCTTGAAACAAATTGATAATACTTTTTTAAAACTGACATCTGCCATATTTTAGGACTCTTCTGTATGAAATAGTAATATTTCATAGGCTGTGGTGTTAACAGACTTCTCAAGCCTATAACAGCTAGGCTTGGAAAGTTATCTTTGGTTTCCTATTAAATACATCTATGAATTCATCACATAAGAAATTGATGAAACCACACTATTTGGCTTTTCCCAGATCATGGTTTTCAAACACAAGAAATAATATTTATTGAGACAAACACAAGATATTTTTGTTAATTGAAATCAAACCCTTGGCAAAGCCCAAACTGCCAGCAGCAAAAACAGAATCATGAAGCATCTTGCATGTAGACTTTAATTTTTTTCTGCTTTTAGTCTGCTTTTTTTAATGCTTATGCTTTTTTTAATCTCTCTTTAATTCACAGACTTCAGTACTGTTATTATTAAAATGTGTTATTATTAAAAGTTGGGTGTGCTTTGAATTTTGATTTTTCTTACTTAACAAAACAACATGTTTTCCCCAGAGTAAGTGTAGCGCTGAAGTGTTATGCCTAAATATTCCCAGGGAGATCAAGATCATACCTGCTTAACTTCTCTTCTACTTGGGATCATTTAAAACAAAACAAAACAAAATACATTATTAATGAAAGGCTTTGTCTTTCTATAAAATAAAACCTCAAACCTGAATCCAGTCCCTGGATTCAGTTTGTGACTTGCACAATGAATTTACTCAAATTAATTGGTGTTACATGAAGAAAAACATTTATTTAACTTTATAGATTTATTGGGGGAAGGAGGGGTGGGGGGAAGAGAAAAAAAGACCTTATTGCCCTGCCCATAAGGTGTATATTCAACTATTACCTCACACAAAGAGGAAATCATCACTAACACTGCCTCCATTAGGGGCCACAAGTGCAGATCATGTCACCCATTCCAAGGTATATGTGATATGGAGATTATGTGCTACAGAAAGTGACAGTCATTAAGGTGTTACATACAAGTTCTTTGTCTTGTTTTGCAAAGAAAAATATATATATATTGATAAACTGTTCTACTGACAACTGGCTTTGTGCTGTTAATTTCCTTAGTTTTTGCCAGCTGCTATTTAATTTCTTTCATTGATATCTTTAATTTTCTGTTCTCCGTTCTCTTTTCTGATGCACTACTGAAAAGAAGTGCCATCCACATTACACTTCTGGGAGCATAAGAACGCAACGTGTGTGCACAGTTCGTTTCAAAACCAGTGTAAATGGGAAACTGAGACACTACTGTAGGGAGAAGGAATTTCAGACCATCAGTTACTTGTTTATTTCATTCATGTAGTTCTGCACAGCTTAGATTATCATGAAATCTACCTTATCTTCTACTTTAAGTACCACTTTAAATATATCTACATTAAAAATCATTGTTTGGAAGTTTATATATATATATATAAATTTATTTATAAATTATTTATATTATTTTTTTTTTCTGTAAAAACTTTGAATTACTCCTACTCAGTTTCACTCAATGGCAATTTAAAGCTTGCTTTCTTATTGAGAAATGAAACTGAAAAGTATTTTATTAAACAAAAAAAAAAAACCAAACAAACAAAAAAAAAACAAACAAGGCAGTAATAAACCTGAATATTGCTGCTAGTTGAAAACACTTTTATAATGCTCCATCAGTGAAGAGTGGTGTAACAGCAGCAGTTTTGTTCCCTGAAGTGTTCAGTTACAGTTTTAAGTGTCTCTGCATTCCTCTTAGTGTTGGCTCTTCAGGTGTCTGTGTCCTATTGTGAAGTGCAGGTGATGTTGGCCAGCTTTAAAAGGGTTACAGCCAGCACGGCCCTTTTGAAGAACTCTTTTTACAAAACCAGCTGCTGTCCTTCTCAATGTGTTTCAAGACTGGGGAACCCTGAGTAAAGCCTGTTTTGAAGCTTACTGGCTTCTTGCAAGCCAGCTGGCATCATCTTCCCATTGCTTTGGGATTGGGGGACCTAGAGTGAAGAAATTCTTAAGCTTTTTACACAGCCTTTCCAATTTTCCAAACCTCAGATTTTCCTAAAGTTTCTCATGTTCCTCACCACTTTGGAAAACTGTTTTGTATATTTTAGTCAGTACTATCCTCCTCCCCCCCCCCCCCCCCCGTTTTTTTTTCATGCAGATAATTTAAGGCTTCCAAATGAGTTTACAAAACCAAAGCCTCCAAATAAACTTTTACTTTGAAGGAAAAAATAAGTACAGTACTTACATATATACTTACTTACCCAGTACTCATGCAGTTTTCTGGTGAAAGTTTTATGGTTTTGGTAATTGAGAATTAAATTGTCTTGTTTATAAACCTTTTTGTAGTTATATGTTACCATAGAAGACTTGAATTGCTGAGGTAAATCAATTAGTTCTCCTGTAATTTAAAATGGAAATATTTCATATAAATCTTCCATTGGCTAAAGAGAAAATGTGCACAAGAGGGCAGCATAAGAACTTCGAATGTTTCAAGTTTAGATGAGATTTTTTTTAGACTTCATCTCGACAAATTAGGAGCATAGTATGGGTCAAAGTTTGTTAATTTAGTTTGGATATATGTTCTTCTTTTCTGATCTTTTTGATCAGTGTCAATATAATTTTAGAATCAATTAACAATTTTACCTTTTGGATGATGTCTGTGACTTTTGAAGTTCTTTCTTTGTAAGTTCCTGATTTTGTTTTTAACTTTGTAACACCAAAATGGTAAAGTCTGATTCTTGCCAGGTCTTTTTCCTGTTATAGAGAAACTATAATACTTTAAGCCATAATTTTTGAACAGGTTATTAATTTTTATTTAACTAATGAGATAGTCCTGTTGAAGCTGCTGTAGTAACCCTTGCATTGTGTTTTTCCAAAAACAGCTAGCTCAGTAATAAAAACCTAATGAATAAAATAAAATATTGCAAGGTCTTAAGTGGCCTCCAGATTATATCTAATACATATTCTGTCTAACATCAAATTTGATTACCATCTAATACTCAGATTTTTTCTGTTGGCTAATACTGTAAATTTTTCCTTAAAACTGAATTTCAAGAATGTTTCTTGAAAATATTCCCCCAATGACTTTGAAAAATGAGAATGAGTGTTGTTTGTGGATAAGTTAGATTGCTGATTCTTTTATAACTGCTGATATTTCTTGCTTAAAAACACTGAACTTTGAAGTTAGTATCAGTTGTTCTGTGCCTGAGACTTCTAGAATATCATAGAATCATAGAATCATAGAATCATAGAATATCCTGAGTTGGAAGGGACCCTTAAGGATCATCAAGTCCAACTCTTGACACCGCACAGGTCTACCCAAAAGTTCAGACCATGTGACTAAGTGCACAGTCCAATCTCTTCTTAAATTCAGACAGGCTCGGTGCAGTGACCACTTCCCTGGGGAGCCTGTTCCAGTGTATTTATTTGCCATAGCCATGGTGAGTTTCTGTACTTTTTTGGAAATCCTTCTGGGACTCACTAGCTTTGCCTTTCTGACGTTCTCCTTGTAAATCATCATCCCACCGATTACAATGTTTTCCTTTGCAATATCTGGTTGTTTGCAGCTCTGAAAAATCAGTCGCTAAGCACAGGAAGTTAAGCCTTCCAAATAAGGTTCATATGAAGCCTGACTCAAATCCTGAAGCCCTGTGATGCTAGAGTAAACTTCCTGGGATCCATGAGTTTACTTTGGGCTGAACCTTTCCACAGAAGTGCATTTTTTGCAGACCCATGATAAAAAAATTAACCAGGCATTACAAGGTCTGGGCTGCTGAATTCAGTTTTGCTGGTCTTCCAAATCTCGGTTATTAGGACTGTGCAGAGTCAAAGCAATCTGGGATGAAGCAATTAGGTTAACTTATCAGTCAGAGCAAAATAATACATGATCATCAATATTGCGGACTAAATACTGTTTTTCAGGCCTCTCCATGAGCCAAATACGGGCTAGCAGGTAGGCGCAAAAAGCTGTAGTCTTATATGAAAATCATCCTGTTTGCCGTTTGGCCATTGCAGCAGATCATAGGGCTCTGGACCTTAACCATCCCAGCTACATTTTGAAATATTTGGTAGCGATGTTGTCGTTGATAGTTGTTTCATTCACTCTGTCAACAAGAGGATGAAACCAAATGAAACTATTCTCTTAACATCCTTGTCTGGGTAGTCTCTTTCAGACTGGCATTTAGGTCTCTGTGAATAAAAAGAAAGCTTTTCCAGACATTAGGAGTACTGATTAGAAGTATTACAGGTTGATGGTCAAGCTTCTGTTTTCCATGGAAGGGTCCATTCCGCCCCCTCCCCCCCCACCCCCCTCCATTATGGAGCAATTGTAATCCAATTCAGGGCTAATATAACTCTGAGACAGTCAATATTTAATGAAAAAGAAAAGTACAACAATTGTAGCAGAAAGGCTCACTATTAATGACAGCAGCCTTATAACCACTAAGCGCTTCTTATTCAGTCTGGAGTGGGGATAAAATTTATTAATATCACTGTGGCAGCAAAGATCTGTAAATATGTTTTTGTTGCTAACTCATAAGGATGTTTCTTTTGTATTTGTCTAGCATCATGTTGTAGTTCTAGCTGAGTTAAATCTGAATTACAGGAAGCTGAAGAAAATTTAGCTACTAGTTTGTATTCTTTTAAAATGTTAATGTCTTTAAAACTTAAATGTTTTTTTTATGTTATAAAGCTTTCATAAAAGCCCCCTTATGGGCTTAAGCAATGGAGGCAATATCTTACAAATGCGTATGAGATTTCAGGTAGAATATCTTGATATTTCTCTGATCTTATTTCATTTAGTGAACTTTGATTATTAATAGGAGATACTTTTTTCCATATATTTTGACGGAATAAAAAAAACAATCAATGAGTGGTTTACTGTTACTAGCTTTAATCCAGCCATTTGAAGCCTGTATTTAAAATGAATTTTAATATTGTGTATAACTATATTGAAACAATATGATTAACTCTGGAGAAATGTATAAATGCAAGAAATGGGCTTTATGATATTTTCATTATTATTTTTATTAGGTCATGATGGTGCAGTTAACTCTGTTGGCTGGAGTCATGACAAGAAGCGGTTAGTTTCTGCATCAGAAGACAGAACCGTAAGGGTCTGGTCAGTCTGCAAGAATGAACCTGCCCTAATTCTGGTAACTAGAAACTCCTGTTAAGTTAGTTCAGAGGACACTATTTTGCACTTTCATCTACTTGTAATGGTTCTGTAGAAAGAACATATGGCCTGATTTTCAGAGCTACTGACTGGTTGTCATTCCAACTGATACTACGATCCAGGTGGACTCCCTTGACTTCAAATTAGGCTTTCATCATAATTTGTGAAAAAAGCCCGGTAGCCAAGTCTAGTAGGTATGTCAGGAAGTTTTGGTTTTAATGTCTGCTATATGTTTTCTATTTGCCTTGGCTCATCTCTGCTTCATTTTAGTCTACTCCAGAGTTCGGATGGAAGTTTAGTGTCTGAGGCTAGATTGTATTACATTTAATTGGCTATAAACTATTGCTATCAATTATACTACCAACTCATTTAAGCAGAATGAAAACTTTGTTTTGAGATTAATAGACATAAAAACTAGGAAGGGCCACTACATATCAGGTTAACCTTCTGTCATGTGGTCAGATTAACAGGGAGATTATGTTTTAGCACCAGGTATCTCAAACAAGAAATATTCAGTATCTTAGAATCTGTTCTTACTAATATATTTTTTTAACAGGGCAAAGGTATGTTTCATAAGGCTATACGCTTCGCGCAGTTTTATTTTATGGATGCATTTATATTGCTGTGTTGTGGAGCTGAATTTCATCTATTAAGTTTCCATGTAGACACAACCAAGGATGACTTAAAACAGTGAGTTAAATCTTTCGTTAACAGAGCATTGAAAATACATGAAATACTGTTTGATCTGAGGCTTTTTTTTTTTTTTTTTTTTTTTTTTCTGGGAGGGGATAAGGGGGATAGGATAGTTCAGCAGAGGAAAGAGGCTATCTTAGGAAAAATATTATAGAAGAAAGAATTAAACAAATAGTAAAAGCTAATAGTAAAAGGTCTTTATTCTTGCATAATTAAAAAAAGGAAATGTCTATTTTTATAGTGCATACCTTATCTGCTGCAAATAATATTTCCATTGCTTTTAATAGTTGGGGACCTTCTGAACTTTACTTTCTGTCTGTTTACATTTTACTGTACATTAATATATTAAGTCACCTTTGAATAGCTATTGCAGTTCCTTCTCTTATGGGAGTATTTCTAAATACATTTTCTTTCAGGGACTCCAATATGCTCTGACTGTCTTCTACCTTTTATGTTAAATGGAAGTGGATTGCTTTCATCATTTTCACTGGCTTTCTACCTTTTATGTTGTATCTAATTATCTAATTACTTCTATTAACTTATTTTTCCCTTTTGTTTCTTCATGGTTAGGCATTCTTCGTGTACTTTTTACTTACACTGTTCTATTGATCATTAAGTGGCTTCTTCTTTCTGATCTGGAATCAATTTTTTGTATTATATCTGTATGATACAGTTTTTCTGATCTTTTAGTTCATAGTTGTAGCTGAAGTGTTTTATTACCCTTTTACTAAGTCTCTCAGCTCTTCTTTTGCTCTTGCTGGCTTTCAGCAGTATTGTGTATGCTCACAGTATAAATGTATCTGTTTAGACACAATAGTGTTTAAAAAACATTGAAGAGATATTTTGCTTTGTTTTATATTACCACAATAGATCTTCAATAGAAGGACAAATAGACTTAGGAGTTGTAATCTTATTTCTATTAGTTGATACTGTGAGTAGTGTCCATTTGTGATACTGAACAGTACTGAATCTGATTTTGGTTTGTAAATGGTTCAAAATAGTTGATTAATTGTCATTTTCAGTGACCTCCCTGGTTTTACTGTTAATCCACTGGCACTTGTGATCATTTAACTCACGTTTCTTGTCAAAATCCTTAATGGAGGCAGTTGCTGTGGCTTTTACTTGTATGGTTTTAGATGTAAAAGACTGGTCTGAACTACCTTTAAACTAGCTAGTTCAGTTGCTAGATGTAGAATGTGGTATAGACATAGAACCCATCCATGAAGTTTTGCAAGGACTTCGACACTGATCTTCCTCTGTGTTTCTGAAATTACTTTGTTAGAAGTGTGTAATATCCTGATATAAAGCTGTTAATGTGTGTAGGATTGTGCTTATATCAACACTTCTGTTATTGCCATGTTCTCAGTATTCCTTGATGGATTAACACTAACTCAAAAATATGCAACTAGACTCGCTCAGATGTTAGTAATGCCAAAAGAGCAAACATAATTGTAGACATTACAACAAATCCACAAACTAGTCTAAGGCCTGGTTATATGTATCTATTAAAAAAAAAAAAAAAAAAAAAAAAGTACTGAAGGTTAATTTGCTTTGACATTTTCTTGTGGCTTCCCTCCAGTTCATTTCCCAGCATTTCATTTATGAAATGCTGTGTCATTCCTTTTGTTTCTCACAACTTTTTAATTCTGCCTTCTGAGTCAAGTTTGGAAGAATGCTCGAATGGAGCTGAATCAAGGAAAAGCTATATCTAACTCCTAAATTGTGCTTTATACCTTTAATTAGCAGAGCATGGCAATGCCATCTGGCTAACCAATTAACTGTTACTGTATTTCAAATATGAAGACAATACAATAACAAATCAGTGTTTCTCTGCCTAGAGCTTTCAAAGAACTACCCATAAGTATGAATTAGTGAAGCACCACAACAACTTAGTTAAGAGGTTAAATATTGGTTCAGCTTTAAAACTGGAATTAAGAAGTGGAAATAATAAAAAAAAAATGTTCTTTATAAATGTCATAGAGGATATTTACTGCAGCTCTGGGAATAGAATACAGATCTCTTTACTTCTACAACTATGATTAATCTCAAAATTATTCACCATCTAAATAAGTTTATTTATGTTCTCCAAAATTACTGTTTAATTTCCACTGTCATCAGCAGTTGTGTATGCTGATATAAAGAAGGGTAAATTATTCTGTTTAATTTCTTTAAAGTTCTTAATTACCTTTAATTTGCACAAGAATTTGAGCAGAACAAAATATCTGTGAGGTTATCATCTCATTTTTATAGTTAGTTTCATGTGTTACTTTAAAGATAAGAAACAGCAATTTAAAATTAAGTTAAAATGAAGGAAACTGCCTTCCAGTAAAAGAAATATTGCATTTTAAAGCCATTATATAATGTCTACTATGATGAAATGTGAAGCTACTAGCTAGCGTATTTTATAGATGGGCGAAGAAAAGGCCATGGTAAGTGGATTTAAAATTTAGCATGCTGTTGATAAATAGAAGAGTGCTAATTACAGGTACTTCTGTTAATATTTAACAAGATCACTATATTAATGCAAACAACTTTAAATCACTTTAGACTTCTTAATAAAATGGACAGTGTAGACCAAATTCAGCAGTATGATAATATGAATGTTCTAAGCTTGGTTCCTTAGAGCTTTAGCCATTAGTTCAAAGGACCTGAAACACTCTTTGATCGTCTCAGAAAAGGAAAGAACCAAGCAAGACGTACATGTCATAAGATGACTTCTCACAACATTTTCAAAACAACCATCTCTAAATGCTTTAAATTTTCCTGTTTATATCCTTTCTTATATCTAAGTTTCATTATAAGCAGTCAGTCAATAACATCTATCCTCTCCTGTAGCATGAAACCATTTTTAAGTTAGGATGAATTCTAATCATTCCAGAATATGAAGTATTTCTTTTCCTTTCCATGTAACCGATATTTTTTTTAATAGAACTCAAGGCTGTGTATGGAACCGTAGAATTGAACTGGTGTTCAAAGATTATTTCTTAAAAGCATGTTAAAATGTTTTTAATAGATTTACACCTTTTGATCTGATGGTATCTTTGGTCTGGTCCTTAGTTTTAACTTTGTGCAGATGTTTACCTTAAACCTTTAAATACTGGATCTTCATTAAGCTTTTTAAGCTCCTGAAAAACGCCTTCGGCAGAAGACCTACAACCTGGTGGAAAGCAGACACCTCAGTCTCTGCAGTCATCGCAGGAGCATTGCATTGTTTGTATCTTAAAATCCAGATTTATATTTTGTTTCTGAAGATATATCATTCTCCTGAAAATAACCATACGGTAAAAGTATTCCCCAAAAATGAATACATCCCCAAAGTATGGAGGATATGAGATTAGAAATTAATCACTTAAACTGTTACCAGGTTCTAATAATTGAAGGAACAGAATTGTAATTTTGATTGTTTCAAAACTGTTATTTTATTTGGATATCTATTATGTAAGATTGTCAGGTAAGAATATGTGCTTTGCATATAATTGGAGACCTGGAAAAAAACATAGAAGATCACAGAATCACAGAACTGTAGGGGTTGGAAGGGACCTCGAAAGATCATTGGGTCCAACCCCCTTGCCAAAGCAGGTTCCTCAGAGCAGGCTGCCCAGGTAGGTGTCCAGACAGGCCTTGAATATCTCCAGAGGAGACTCCTACAACCTCCCTAGGCAGCCTGTTCCAATGCTCCATTACCCTCACCGTGAAGAAGTTCTTTCGCATGTCAGTGCAGAACTTCCTGTGCTCTAACTTGCAGCCATTGCCCCTTGTCCTATCCCCACAAACCACTGAGAAGAGGTTGGCTACATCCTTCTGTCCCCCACCCCTCAGATACTTATATACATTGAGGAGATCCCCTCTCAGTCTTCTCTTCTCCAGGCTGAACAGACCCATGTCTCTCAGCCTTTCCTCATAAGGAAGATGCTCCAGGCCCCGTATCATCTTTCCGGCTCTCCGCTGGACTCTTTCCAGGAGATCCCTGTCTTTCTTGTACCAGGGAGCCCACAACTGGACACAATATTTCAGGTGAGGCCTGACCAGGGCCAAAGATACTTTGCAGCCATTTTTGGGTCTCATCATAAGCTTTCTGTTGGCTTGAAATTTTGGTTTAATTTAGATAATTTTAGGGCCAGTTTATGTTACAATAACTTTTTCAGTAGTCATGTGATCTGGAATTTTGCCTAAGCACACTCCCTACTCTTGGTCTTCATTTCTGCTGTATTTTATAAGGCTTTTCTTAGTGTTTTCTAGTATCTAAAAACAACTTCACAATTGGCTTTAACAGTGCAATCCTATTGGAAATCTTGCAGTGAGAAAATTAGATTTTTTATGATGGGCCATCAAATTTATCTATGAAAACTCTCCAGACATGAAGTGGAATTCTTAACCTCGCATGAATTTTATTTTCATTATTCACTTTTGATGGGTAAAAAATGAAAATAAAAATAGTTGTTCCTTATAAAGATTTCTTACTTTTTTATTATATTCTTTCTTTTTACCTATAAGGCTCCTTATATGCACAGAAATCACGTCATGATGATTCTCTGCAGTTTAAAGCACAGTAATTCTATGAAACGCACCTTCTTACTGATAAGCTGTAATATCTTTCAACAGTCTGAAAGGCTTTTCTTTCGTGTACTCTACACAACTTTATCTTGATAAGTATCGTAATATCTTCTGACCTTAACTGGGTTAATTTGTCTGAAAAATTTTGCAACAAGCCCGTTGTAAGATACATTACAATCTTTTGTATAACACAGACTATTATTTTAACTGCAAACATAGATGGTTGAAACTTAAGTAAAAATGCACATACATTTTTATTCTCAAATTATATTCTTACATATTGCAAGTGGCATTTAAGCTTTTGTATTGTCTGAATTATGTAATACCTTTCTTCCACAAGATGATTACTTACCTTCTGTGTTGGATCTTAATTCTTAGCTTATGGAGGTGCTGTTAACCTCTAAGAGACAAGAACTAATGTACAGTGTCCAACTGAGCGTGTCCACAATGTCTGGCTTAATTTCAGTTGACTTGCAATTTGAACTGAGAATGTATGCTAAATGTGTCAAATGAATTGCATCCAAAAATATAAGATCTTAAATATTTTTTTTTCTGCTAATGGGGGTCTTGTTCCATTTTATTTTTTTTTTCCCATGTTACTCATGTTACTTTCATTCATTTTGATCTAACTTGTATTTCTATGTATTTACTGAATTGGTTGAAGATTTACTTTCTAGGTGAAATGATATCTGGGAAACACTCAGTGATGTGGGCTATCTATTAAGTAGACTGCACTGTAGAAGAGAGATACTTCAGCTAACTCAAAACAATTGATCTTGCATTTAGGAGTAATGTAACTGTTTCAGTAAGTTTCTTCCAGGATGGTAAATTAACTCAGAGGAAGCTTCGTACTGCCTTCATTAGACTATTTCTGTTATGTTAGTCAGGTGTCTAAAGTTAGCTTGGTTATCTTTACTCCAAAATGGCGATAAATCAGTTATCCCTAGGTCTAGATCAGCTAATTTTTGTAGCTTAATTGGATAAAATACCTCTGTAAACCACAAAAAGAAATATCTTGGATTAAGTTGCAGACCACTGTGGTTTAGCTTATGTTTTACCATTGTAGCTGAAGTAGCTCTGATGTCTACCTGGAAGAGCTCAGCAGACTGTCATTTAAGAATGTTAAAAATATTAATCATTTTTCTATTGACTGGATTCTGCTAATAAACATATTGCTTTTGCCAAATGATCATAGTTTTCCAAATTTCGTGCTGGTGGAAAGAGATAGTAATTATTCCTGTAAGTGTGCCACCCATGGACGTTTGTTAGATACACTAAAATGGAACTATAGTACTTACAGTTTCATTGGAATTATTTTAATGCATAGAAGTGTCTGCATTTAGAATACAATATGGAAATTTTAATTTCTTGTGGCGTGTTGACACTGCCTGGCAGAGTGGTGTTTCATGTTGATCACAGATTTGTCTTACATGTATGAATATCATGTTTCTTTTCATCTGAAATAGTTTAGTTACCAAATTTAATAGAATTCAGCAACAAGTAAAAAGATCTGCGGCTTTAATTTTAATAATAAAACAAAGCATTTTGCTTTGTTTTGTAATTCCAATGGGATTTTACTGGTGACCACATATCATTACTTATTTCATTAACGCTAGCATTCATTTGATATTTTTTTCAGATACAAACAGAGAATTTTTTGCAAATTGATCCAGAAATTTCTCATGGCTTCAACAATGGAGATTACCAGCCTTTCAGCAGTAAATGATTTCTACTCTTGTATCCTTTTTAACAAATTATTATTAAAAAAAAAACAAAAAAAAACAACAAAAAAAACAAACAACTTTGGATTTAATGACAAGGAAAGAATTTCAGTTAAAGCAATTAACATTTGATTCTTTCTTTTTTACTACTCTTTTTCTGTTAGTGTAGAAATACCATATTTTTTGTGATACCAAAGTTAAGCCTTTGTATTTTTTTTATGGCTAAGATTTTTGATTTTTGCATGTAAAGCACTAAATACAACAGAACCTTTATGTGTTATATATATATATATATGCTTTAATTTATTTAGATCAATTTTGCTTTAACACAGAGAACTTTGCAGATATTGTTCTTACAGCTGGCAGCAACCGAGCATTGGAAGTTTTTGACCTCAATGAAGGCCGAAGCACAGCAGTGATTCCAGAAGTTCATAGTAGATCAGTCCATCAGATCTGCCAAAATAAGGTTTATATATTGCTGTATACTGATAGTACCACAAGGACCTAATTCTGTGTGATAAAGGCATGTCTGCAGACAAGATCTCATTCATTCTCTTGTGGAAAGCAAGCAGCAGTAGACTGAACAAGCCTGCTAGCAGGGCAGTGTATCTTACCCTTTGCCTTACTTGGGCCAGACTGTAATACTGCAGTTCAATAGGAACCATTAATTGTAAATATTTACAATGTTTGTAATCTGCTAGCCATTTTTATAGCTTTTAACACTTTCCATATTTTTGACTTGCATTTTTAACATGCAGTTTAGAAAACAGAAGGCTTTTCCATGCTGATTTGTTGAAGTATTAATGTAGATGTTATTTAACATTCATACTGAATTTTGATATCTCAAAATACTCCATGACAAAGAGGAAACCAATTTAACACTCAGTTCTTGCATGGGGAAATAAAGGGAGCTGTAAAATTCTAATAAGTCTTATAACCTATTCTAGCATCTTATTGTATTTTTTTTTACCAAGGGCCAAAATTGTTATATAGTGTTCTGAGTGTATTTCTTACGCTAGGGGCTACATTTTCCTCCAATATTCTGCTCCTGACATGGGAACAAGAAGTTTATAATTTGTGTATTTACTGATGTCATCATTGTTATTACAATTAAAAGCAAAAAAAAAAAAAAAAAAAGAAACAGCAACAAAACCAAATCTATCAAAAAAAAAAACAAACAACAAACAAGCTTTTTTACAACAGCAGAAGTCTATTCTCAGAGTAAATTCCTATTGCCCAAAGTTGTTCTCCTGCACTGTTTATAACTGCACTGTGTATAAATAGGGTTTCTTACAAGTAGAGGTAGCTATAAGCTTCTTGGATGTGCAAGTTGAAGAAGGTGAGATAAAGGGTCTTGTACAGTTTTTTGACCCAAAAGATTATGTGAGAAAGGAATAAATTGGAAGTGATAGGAGTACAGATTTTATTCACTCTATTATCTAAGAGTTTATTGCTCTTATAAGGAAGCTGTCAATCTTTTTTTTTTTCCTGCTGTGAAAATTATTTTCTTCCATTTCAGAGTATGTTGTGTAAAGTAGCCATAAAACAGCCTTAAGCCAAGCAATTTTTTTTTTTTTTTTTTTTTTTAATTTAATTTAATTTTATTTTATAACAGGGCCTTTAGAAAGAAAACAATCTGCACATATTGGCATATTATGTGAAATTTCTTCTACTGTGAAATGCCCATGGAAACCTGGGCTTTTTTTTTTTAATGTTTTGAATAAATGTTTTGATTTTAGTTGTATACTTGAACATTTATGTCTCCTCTTGAAAAATGGTCGATTTTAAACTGTGCCATAATTGCTTTCCATGTTACTTGAATCTGACACTTGAAATCAAAGCCAGTCCTGTAGGCTTAGCAAGAGATTGAAATCAAGTCTTGTGAGCAAATAGCATAATGCTATACTGCTATAATAATTTATAGTGTGGGCTTAACATACTTGAAGAGTAGATGATCTTGAACTGTTTCTCTCCTTTCAGCCTGATTTTCAGTCACTTTTATGTTAATATATCATGCCCAAGTATGTCATGATGGAAATACACTGTTGCATCCTGAAGGCTTGCAGGTAAAAATCATCAGGGAGGAATCATGAATTCATAGTCTTTAGGAAATGCCATCAGAAGGTAAACCAGTACAAGGTGCTGGGAACTGAGGAGAGCCATATTTTTCAGATAATTGGCTTGGATTTGCCATTTCTCAATCAGTTTTCTTGTTTATGTTTTTAGTACTTGAAACCAAATGACAAAATATACAGAATGTGCAACTTACTTTCTATGTAAACGAATGATAGGATCCTCTTGCTAGTTTGTTGAATCTCATGAGAGAATTTAGGTTTGTAGTCTTATATGTCTTATGTAACTATTCTATAAAGTTGAATCCAAAGTCATCTGTTTCATTCAGAAATTAAAAGAAAAATTGCTCAGTATTACACTGGAGTTGGATGGCTTTTAAACCCTCATCCTTGGGCTTTTTTTCTTTTTTCTTTACTTGTGAAATTTTATTAGAATGTTTGGAAATCTATTCCTGTACATTCCTGCTGGAATGCCTACTGTGTTAGGTTTGGTTGAGTATGGCTCTTCATTCCCATTTGGAAAGCCCTTGCTTCTGTGGGTTTAAAACAGTTCCTTATTACTACTTTTGTATAACTCTGTGGGTTTTCCTGAGCGATGTGATCTGGTAAAATACTTAAAATTGTGCTAACTATTTCAGTACTATTTGTTACACACACAGGCTTAAAGTTTTGGCTTTTCTTTTTGCTTGGTCAGCTGAGTGGCTTCAGGTTATTTAATCAAGAGAAACTTTAAAGCTGTGGACAAGTATTCTCTTGGGAGAAAAACTAGAGACATGTGGTATAGCAAAGAAAATTGACCATTTGGGGGAAAATTATAGATCAAGGTTCTCAATTATTTTTTCAGTTATATAAAATTAATACTTTAGATAGGTCTGTAGGAAAATTATATCATCAGCTCTTTTGTTACATTAGTATAATTTCAACTGTTAGAGTAAATATAACTTGGAACATTTGCATTAAGAGAATATGCTGAAATAATTTATAGTGTACACATAATATTCTGCATATTTTTGTAATTCTATATCCTGTTTAAAGTGCAAAATACATTGGAATCTAAGGATGTGACTACCTTAGCTACTGGGGAGGGGTGGTGAAGCAGAAGCAAATCTATGGAATGAAATAGTTGGTTTTAAGGAGCCAATGCCCACAACTTAAAATCTATGGAGGCTTTCCTGTAGGTTTAATGCTCACTACAGATTGCAATGCATTATGTATATTCTTGAAGTGCATTTTCTGTTTTGGCTTCATGCAAAAACAAGTGAGTTCCCATGTTCCAACATTGCTTTTGGATGCAACCTGAACAGCATTAGGTGGGAGAGATTGGGAGTTTGTTTTTAATAAATAATAATAATAAAGATAAAATATATTTAGAAGGTCTTTATAAAACACTAATGAAGATCTGATTCAATTAAATGTGGGAGAAACCTGTCTGCAGGTTCTCTGTTGCATTTATGGGGGATTCTAGCAACATACAAGACCAGCATGAGATTCATTTATTGCTGAATAATACTGCTGTGCAGCTGTAAGCAAGCACATATAACTTGCAGTGTAATTACTTTAAGTAGTTCTTTTTTGTCAGTTCTGGAGATTAGTTGCAAGAAATGACATTGATTTATCTCAGCCTTCAGGGTACTTGATTAAGCTTATTTTATCACTTGGAATATGTTTTTTACTGTAGACATTGTTTGACATTGTTGTGTGTGACACAACAGAAATTTAGAATGTGTTACAGGTAAATGTTCAAAAGAACGTTCAAATATTTAAATATCAACTAAATCTCAGAATCTGTGGCCTTACTCTTCTGTCTAGTTTTGAAAATCTCCCTCTTTGGCCTATCAAAGAGAACTAATGTAAAAGTCATCTTTCCTCAGGAATCATGAAATTATTTTAAGTTTAGTTATGTGTAGCATATCCCGTGTTGCAGAGGCAGTTATTAGTACAATAAGGTCTTGCTTTATTAATGATATCCTGAAGATGACATACTACTCTACTGAACCATTACTTGCCACAGCATAGATAAAGAAAGCTGTAGTCTAGCTACAGCTTTGAGTAGCTTTGTCTTTAGCTTTAGGAATGTGTTGAATCATCCTGACTATAATTACTGTAAAATCAGACCATACCCTTGCATGAGATAGAGGCTGCCAATTTTATTACAGCTGATGAAAACTTATCACTTATCTGAAACATGAACTGTGCAAAGAAATCTCTGTTCTTGCTAATGTTTTGTGTAATATTGCAAATTAATATAGAGTACATGCTCATTGCTCATACAGTGTGTGGGGAGAGAGAGAGAGAGAGAGAATAAGTACATAAGTACATGGAATGTTTCCTATTGTAGGCTAGGAAATTGCTGCAATCATCCCTCCTCTTTTCAGGTGAAATGTAAGTGTGGTGGTTGTTCTGCCCATTCCTACTGGCTCTTCTTTCCTGGAGAAGAAAGCAGTAGCAGCAACAGGATGGGACTTCCAACCGGTCTTTTATCTTGTCACTGTTCTCCATTTCACACTACACACCTACAACCACTTTCATTTTTTTTCCTCTTTCTCCTGTATGTAATTCCCCCTTCCTACTGTATTTTTTTTTTCCCCCTCTTCTGGTCATCCGCAGCCATGCAGGTTACTGTTCTTTCCAGAGCTCTTTCCAGAGCTCCTTCTGCCCTGATTATGTCTTTCCTCTCAAGTCCTTCAACCTCGGTGTCTTACAGAGGTGACAGGTGCAAGGACTGGAAGAAAGTAGCTTTGGGGAGGTAATGTCCATGAGGAGGAAGGGAAATGAAGAGAGCAGCATCACTGAAGCTCACTCACAGAAAGTTGGGATTTCTGTTTTAGTATGAAGAATAATTCTAAGCATCTTTAAATGCAGTATCAGTTATGAAGTCATGTCATTTTAAACTCTGCTTTTAATGCAGAGGAATACTTCAGAAATGAAGAATTCAATAGTATAATGCTGAAGAATATTACAAAAATTACATGGATGCTGAGGAATAGTCATTATTGAATGCCAGAGCAGAGAGAGGTGTAAGAAAGAAATCTTGGCGAGTAAACCTAGACAACTGTGTTAGTAAGAAGCTGCTCTGAGTTGCTACATGTTACAGTGAAATGAAGAATAATGAATGAAGTGAAAATGTATTTGCACGCTAGCATCGTGTATACTGCTGTACTTATTTTTTCCTTTATCTTTCTTTAACTGTAGGAATAGCTGGATGTCTTAATACCATGCTGTTTAATTGTTTAATTTGAAAACGTTAAATTGCAACAACTGGTTGAATGTAATGTGGTGTGTGTGTGTGTGTATATACACACACATATTGTGTATGTGTATATATGCCCACACATACATAAACTTATTTTCATTATACCTATTCATCTGTTGTATAGAATAGAATTCTACTCTA